TCTTTTATAAACATCAAAATATAATACATAAAAAATACAATTATGCTAGATCTGAATTTGATAATAACCAGTTTTTTAAGCATAAGGTCTTTCTTATGGTTTCTTACTTCAAAGACATTCTATTTTTCGTTAACATATAATGAAAATAACCGCTCACTGAAGATCCTTGTATGGACAATATATCAATTGCCATTTTCGACAACACGGGAAAACGATCCCCATGCAATCTCCACCATTCTAGGGGGCTCTTCTTAGAAGTAATTCTTAATTCATTAAGATAAGTTTTAACCTCGCATATTGGTAAGATGATATTTTGTTTAAAGATTCTATCCATATTTGACTGTATTATTGAGTTATCTGATGTTGTATTTATATTATTTCACTTTGTATTCATTGTATACATCCTATTTTTGTAATAGATTTATTGTATCTATTTTATATGATGTTGGTAATTGTTGAAAAAATTCTATTTTAGTCTTGGATCTAATATTTCAATATTTGTTAAGTTGTAATATTTTTTTATTTTCTCAATCGCATTGAGGGTGTTTATAAAAGTGTGGTTAAATGAGTTTAAATTCTCGATTAACGAAAATAAAATGGGATCACAAGATTTAAGGTGGGATATGTCACCAGCCACAGATATCTTCAGTAAAATCAAAAAAAGTCTTTAATTTTTCTTCTATATTTATCAAAGACATCCAATCATCCTGGTAAAAAATAAAAATTAGTAAATAAACCAATTAAAATACTTCACTCAGTTGTCTTTCTTCTATATCAGATATATCATCATATATCTGAGTCACCACTTCATGGCTCTTCTCATTTTGATAGCTCTTTCGACCATTATATAGGAGCTATTCCATCTGATGGATGTGTCTAATTTTAATTTAAGATATTTCACCGGGGGAAATAAGGAAGCGCATACATTTTTCATAATATTTGTCTTTATAAAAGAATTACGTATAGCTTTAATGAGTGTTTTTAATTTTGTTAATTGACTGTCTACTTTCTTAAGTATTTATAGTACTACCAAATTAGGTACATGTGCAAAACATCGTACATGTAAAATTTTACAAGTTGTGTGTTTTATACGAAGAATTTTTATAAAGATTGAATTCGAGCTTGCATTATCACAAGTAATTGCCATGTTACTAATATCGATATTATAATTTTTTATAATTTGAGAAAATTCTCCATATATATTTTCACCAGAATGTGAATCAGTAAATGGTACTATATATAATAACAATGACTTCATATCCCATTTTTCATCTATAATGTGGCAGGTCAACCCTAAAAATGGTACATTAGTAGGGCTTGACCATACGTCGGTGGTAAAGTGATTTGGCACTTTAAATTATTTATAATTATTTTAACTTTATTGAATTCTTCTTTATAAATTTCACTCATATATAGTTTAATTGTGGATATTGAACAAATTTTTACGTTAGGATTTAAAGCTCTAACAAATGATTTAAATTCATTTGTGGCAAGAATTTTAAATGGTATATTCGACTTGAACAAAAATTTTAATAAATAATGTTTAATGCAATATCATTGGTTTAATGTCATCAATATTTGTTTTGGTTAAATCATTTAAATAGTTTTCTATTGTATTATTATTTTTAATCTTTTGATGAAATCTTTTATTATGATTAATTAGTGGAGAGGTGGTTTTTTTCTTACACATTATTTACCTTGCAGATTTTACATTTGACAGTTTCTGCTTTAGAATCATAAAGATAATGATTCTATATTAAGGAATTTTTCCGCCTTGCATTAACGGGTTCAGCTTGATTAGATATTGATTGGATAGATGTAGATCTAGAACTAGTTGAGGATTGGCTTTGTCCATCACCACCTCCTCCATCAATATTTTAAAATTGATCTTTGAATATATTTAAAATTATATAAAATCTAAGTTTACCATCCTTCCTAAAATTCCAGATCAATGATACATTAGCAGCTGAAAGAAAAAAAAACAACTTAAGAAACATAAATCAATTAAACTTTCAGAACAATAATAATTTTTTTAACCCTTCACTACACAGTTGGGTAAATACAACATAATCTTTGTAATACAAAACCTAGTAGATATTCTGACCTGGTTTTTACAGTAGTTTAATATTTGTAACAAGGAATACAACTTCCAAATTTCATGATTATTGATTTGACAGTTTTTGAGATATATGTAATTTGTCGAACTTGGGATAAAATATTCCCCACCTGTGTAATTACATAATTTTTTTTGTTACTAATTATGATTATATATGACAGGTTAATATATATAATTGATTTTTATTTATTTATTTGTATATTTTGATTGATATATATGACTTAAATTGAACATATGATTTATAATTTAAATTATTCTAATGAAAGTAATTCTATAACAATTATATAGGTAATAGATTTTGAATCAAGTGATGATTATTTTTTATTAGATAGAAATCACAATTCAGTGATGGGGAATCACAGAGATATGTTTGATAATTTTAATGAAAACTGTAATAACTCTTATAGCGGACAATATGTTGCAATTGAATAAATGCTTCCAGATTTTAAAGGGAAAATCCCTTCAAGCAATACATGCCAAATAAGCCTTCAAAATAATTTATGCCCTAGTCGATTAAAGAATTTTTTACTCTTTAAAAATAGAATTATATGCTGGCAATTATAAATTGAGCAATAAACTTTTGATATGCGAAATACTAATTCAACCAATTTCTAAGACTAATATATATGTCATCACAGATAACTAGTTTACCAGCTATGAACTTGCTAAACATTTGTTATTGTTAAATTCTCATTCATTAACTATAGTAGGAACCTTAAGAAAAAATAAAAAGCAGATTCCAACATCATTTAATTTTAAAAAGAAAGATATTTATTCAAGCTTATTTGCCTTTCAAGATAATATGACATTAGTACCTTACACAAAGTATAAGCATGTTATTATGTTCTACCCTTCACTAAGGATTTTTTTTTGAGCAATAGTAAAAATATCATAACTTTATTTAGAAATAAATCGAAATATAGAAATTTTGTATTTATTATCTCTAATAGGTAAAATTTTAGGTCTTAAATTTTATTATTATCTGAGATATAGCTATTTAAAATTTGGGGTAAAATAGAAACTATTGGAGTTTTTTCCACCTGTATAGTGAAAGGTTAAATCAATCTTTTCTTATTTTGACAATTTTATATTAATTTTGTAGTTGTCCATTTTGAAATTTTCTACTCAAAAAATCATAACTTAAAATTTTAGATCTTAGAAAATTATATTTCTTTTTAACAAATATATAAATAAAATTAATTTAAATAATTTACTTTGTTGGGGCATCAAACAAAATATAACATGATTTATAAGAGGAAAAAAATAAAGTAAAATGAAATGAAATCCACTAGGAAAATTTAATTTATTATTTACTTACGATTTACGAATATTAACGAAAAAATAAAATATTTACGAAAAATTATAAATATTAACGAATATTTATAAATAATTTTGAATAATACGAATAATTTCGAATAACACGAATCGAATAATAAAAATTTAATATTCGACGAATACTTTTTCTAAATATTCATATTCGATTCGAATAATTGTGATATTCGTATTCGTAAAATACGAATCGAATCAAATCGAATAACAAATAATTCCTTTTAGGCGTACACCCGGCAAGGAGGATCAGCAGTAAGAGTTTTGAGGGTTTTTATTATATTGTTAAAAAAGCCGCATTCTGTTAAAATATCCCAAAGGGAGTCAAGGCTAACGTTGTCAAAGCACATTTATACTATAAAATTAAAATGAAATGCAGCTTATATTTGTTAAATTTTTGCAGTTATCTTCAGAGCTAAAATCGGTTCTTAATATTTTTCCCTGAACGAAGCGCAGATAAATTAGAAGAGGTTTGGTTTTGAAGAAAGACTACGGTTATTTATAGGAATGTAAACCTTTGATACGATTAATGTAAGAGCGATGGCTCTGTAATCTTTGAATTTAGTTAGATTAGAAATTTTAAGAAAATTGTAGAAGATTGAAATGTTCCAGTCGTAAAGTATATCCCTGTGAGCCATATTTCATTAAAAATTACTACTAAAAACTGTAATAGTGTTGTGGGGGCAGCTTTCAGATGTTCCCAAATAATGTTAGCTAGCTACGGAGATTTGATGTTCTGGAGTTTGTTTATAGCAGTAACTATTTATACAGATAAAAAGTTTGCAGAACATTCTACGGTGTTTCGTCTAGTGGATGTAAAGGTGGTCTACTTGATTCAAAAAATACCCAAATAATGGCCTAACCACATCACCACCAGTAATAATTGTATTATTTTCTAGCTTTATATAAGGAAGTTCTTTGAACATTTAGGTTAAGCCTTTTGTAAAAGTCAAATATTCTATTTTCTCTAATGTCTTTTTTTTCAACTCCTAGGCCTTATTTGCAATGAAGATCTTTCTGTCCCTAAGGAGTCCGTGTATTTTCCAAAGGTTATTATCATGTCTTTCATGTAATTTGAGATCCCCAATCTTACCAACTGTGTACTCGGATACCTATTCATTTATATTATCTTGCTCTTAGTTAAGTTTGTTAGAAAACAGGTTTATTTTTGGGTTATCATTATAAACAAATCTACTAATTTATAAATTAGAATTTTTGATTCGCCGTTTCTTATCGTTATTTGAGTCTCAAGATCATTCGTAATTCAACGTTATCTAAGATATAATATCGATACATTTCTGTCATTTTTGTAGGGTAAACCAGCTTTATATTATTAAAAAAAGGATTTAAACTTTTATAACAACTATTTTAAAAAAATGGGTTTAAAAAAACAATTCTAAAGTCTTTCTTTGTCGACACCATGCCCTTTCTTTGAGAAAAAATCAGAAAATATTTGTTTTAAAAATATTAATTTATTTGTAAAGGCAAAAATAATATATTGTATTCTGCAACATAGATTAGATAATATAAAAATTAAATATATAAATAATTTTATTCAATAAAATTTTTTAAATAATATATATACATATTTGGGGAATATTATTATAATTATGGCGTATAATATAATAAATTACATAATTATTAATCATTTAATACTCAACGCTTGTAACAATAATTTATTTTATGGAAACCGCTTTTCAAACTGGAAGGTTCATATTTATTTTTTAGGTTCTTGGGGAGTTGTTGGTATTGGTATTATTCCTTGAGAAATGTCGGTCATTTTAGGAAACGAAATTTTCTTCCCAGTCAAATCCGATTGACACCAAAGGAGTAGTTTTAAGACATTGCTCAAATTACATTCTGGCGATGAGGATAAGTTTTCATAATTTGAAATAGCCGCTATAATATCACTTGATATCTAATAACAATTTAAATACATTTTAAAAATGTGTCATAAATAAATAATTAAAATTGTGCCAATAGTAAAAAATTATTCGAATATTTAAAAATATCAAACTTGCATGACCATTTATATGTAGTAAATTTAGTGCAAACAAATCATAATTATAAAGAAAAATTTCAACATATTTTCAAGCTAATCGTTTGGGAGAATGAAGCTTACTAGAAAAGTTTATTACCATATTTTAAAAAAAATTGAGACAAAATTTTTCAGTAAAAAAAGGTATTATAGAAAGCACTTTTATAATTATTTTTTGATAAGAATAGACATTCATATAATAAAAAACTATTATATATTATGAGATGCAAGTAAAAGCATCATGCTAGCGTAAATTTTTAAAATTTTGTCATTGTAAATCATTTTGACGGCATTTTATGAATGATTTAAAAAAGAAAATGAAATATAATAATCAAATGGACGAACCATTCCATGTCAAATTGATCAAAAAAGGAACTATTACGGCCAACCTGTACAGCGCCTCAAGGATGAGAAAAATATTTTCGAATATGTAAAATTTTTAAAATGCTTATATCTCAAAAACTATGGTAAAAAAAATCGGGGTTATCAAGAGAATAAAAATTTGAGGCCAAATTGAGTCTTTAACCTTCGGCTTAATTTTTAGGGATTTTCGAAAAATTTCTTTGCCTTCTATTTAGACATGGTTTATAAATATATATACGATGTAAAAATCTTGGAGACGCTAACGGCTCTTCCAAAAAGGCATTTTTACCAAGAATTGAAATTTATATTTGCTTAAAATAGATGGCGCTATAAGAAAATATTGACTATGGATAAATTTTCGTCACTAGTTTATAAATAACAAGATATTTTTACTTTTTATACTATTTCGAATTACTGGGTCATGTCAAATCGATCAAAAAAGGCCCATTTTCAGCCAACCCCTTTTAAAATTGCTGAAATTATTTAGATGTAAAGATTTCACTAGAATCAAGTTCAAGTTACCATTCATCCTTGTGATTTATTACAAGACACTTAATAATTTACATTTAAGTTACATAATAAAATCGGAAATCTCTCATTCATAAAACAATTGTAGTTCATTTATGCCAAAATATTTAGTCCGCACTAAACAGAAATTTAAAAACTGCCCAAAAAAATTCTTTAATTTTCAGATGAAGAAACATCATAATATAGGAATCAAATTTTTGCCACCATGAAGATTATTTCGAAATAAAAAATGAGTATCATTTCTGAGCCACGTCTCATGGCAAATCGGCTTGTGATAGAGTCGAAGGTACAGTCCAGCCTTTAGTGGCCAGTGCTAATTAACAAAGACCGGTTTCAGAATAAATAACTTGCCCGATAGAGTTTTTTTGCCAATTTTAAGAAAAATATTAAAGATATAAAATTTTTAATTTATTATAATTTATTAATATTATATTATGCAATTTTTTTTATTAAGGAATAGATTTCTCCTAGACGAATAAGAGAAAATAATCCTAGAAGAGAGATTCAATACAGCGCCTACAATGCCAGGAACGCAAAGATTTAATATTTTTATCATATTCAAGATAAAATTGAAGCTAACTTTTATTCATATTCAACAAAATAGTAAATATTAAATATAAAATTACACTCGAATATTAATGTGAATTTAATATATGAAAAAATAAATAAAAATATATCTTTGACAATCAAAGGTGAATGGCCTATTGTTTAGAATAAAAACGAAAAAGAGGTTTTACATCATCCGATTGACAAATTGTGGATATATAAATCACAAATTCTAAATGTGGTCAGTCCTTCAACTGCTATAGGGCGAACATATACTTAACATAACGATGAAACAATATTCGATTTCTTAATTTATTTGCTTAAATATATAATTTTTTATATCTCTAACTAGTTTCTTTTCAAATATATTTTAAATTATAGAGCGAATTTGATTATCTATCTATATTTCTATACATTGATTAAAACGCATAATAAAAAAAATTATACGACAGATATTTATTATTCGAAACGATAAATTATTAAAATGTTTAAGGGCATTTGGCCCCACTGCTTTTCAGTTGAATTGGTACATTTAATAGAAATTAGAAATATTTTAGTATAAATTAAGAGAAAATATCCTATTATTGGTAAGTTGGCAACAAAATTTTAACCTTATGCATAGTTTCGAATAACATCATTTGTTTTATGTAAAAAAAACTTTTTGGTAAAAATTCACAGAAAAGCAGATAGTGTCGCCAAGGTTTTCTTATCGTGTATCCTTTATATAATAAAAGCGTGTCACAGTCACAATTTGTGAAAAATGTGACATTTTGTGAATAAATGAAATATCATGAGTTGGAAATGAACTCGCAACTAAATACAATATCTGAACATTTGTCGCAGCTCCTTACCTCAATACTCATGAGTTCTTATGAATGATATATTTATTGTCTATTATTTTCCATTCTAGAAATAACGCTAAGTGTTAAATATCGTTATTCTGATTGTATTTTTAAATGCATTATAATTATTTTTTAAATTTTATAAGTTCTCAACTATACCATAAATGAAGATAATGAAATACCATATCATGTATAACAAGATGGGGTAAAATTTTGTTGTTGATAATGAAAATATGTAGAAAATTTTATACAATCCAATAATAAAACAATATCCTATATGATAATTTTTCAGATTTAAAATCTTTTATTAAATATAATGTTGTCCTTATATCAAGAGCTAAGTAGAATGTTTGTTCAGTCTAGGGAAGTTTATTTATGAGGGGAAACGAGTGTGTAAAAAAATTTATCAAACCCAAATTTTATAAAAAATAATCAGTTCAAATATATAATATTTCATTAAGTTATGATGTAAATACATTCTATTCTCTTGTATTTTTTTCAGTGTAAATATTTTTATTGTATATTTTTTTATATAAAATAAAATAAATGATGCGTAAGAAAATAATTGATAAGGTAACTAGTTATTTTTGAAATATAACTCAACAAGTTACATTTAAAAAATTGTGATGAGTAACTGTAATCAGTACCTTTTTAAGAATGTAACTGGTAACTGCAATTAGTTACGTTTCAAAAGTAAGTTTTAACATAACTAAAAAAAGCAAATCTCATAAATCTAAACCCGATGAGTACAAATTTTAAAAACTCAGAGTTACTTGGAAACACATAATTTTGATTTATGTAATGTTGTTGATTCCATAATAAGCCATCATAATATTCTTCTTCATCGATGCTGTAATATTTTAACCTCAAAAATAACCTCCAAATTTTCAGTGATTTTCTGCAATTCAACATTATTATGGCATGTATTAAAATACCATAACTCATTATTTGAATAATTAGTTATTTACACTAATATTCCAAGCCAGATTATCATTATCAACTATTAGTTGCACCTAGTTTTTAATAATCCTTTAAGTTTACTATAATTTTTCTTATCCTATTAGTTTATTTCTTCCTTTAATATTCTTTAATGAAGAGTATCCCCAATAATTAGTAAGCTATATGTATCAGAGGTCTGCAAATGGCAAAATTATCAGACCCAACATAGTGAAAATTTATTTCATGCCTGGCCTGGCCCAGTTTCAATTTTTTATTAAGGTTGCCCAACCCAGTTTTTGATACAAGGCCTAAATCAAAATATATGTTGCTGAATACTAATATAAAACCTATTTATAATCTTGATGAGTGGATAAATTGAAAACTATACTTAAATTATCACTTATATAAAATATTAAAATTCATCAATATATATTAAAATTTTGCCTGTCCTGGCTTGTTTATTTTTTTGCCAGGTCTGTCCATAAAAATTCATCTTCAAGCCTAGCCCAAGATTTTTTTAGAAATTTTATGGGCCTGGCCCAGAATTTTATCTTTGATTATTTTTCTACCTGTCAGAAATATTAACCTCTTAATAATTAATATTGTTTCAATTCCGGCCAAATATTAATTATTTGTAATATTTTCCTTAGGTTGCTCTGGCTTCTTTTATAAAGGTTTTCTTGCATTTTCAATGCTTGTTCAAATAATCAGATGCAAAATGAACAACCATATTTGCTTTGAAGAAATTTAGCATTAAAAAAAATTTAGACAAGCGAAACTATTTTTTGAAGTTTATAATTACTAATATTGAGTAAAAAAGTGCAAATTAAAAAAGAAAATTATTAAGGCATTTTCGAAAAATAATAAAAATGATTATGAGGCCCAATAATAAAGTATCAGCCTAATTACTTTCTATACATAAAAACTGTTTAAAAAAATTCATAACCCTTATCTAAAAGAAATTATGGAAAAATTAAATTCTTCAGAAAATAAAAAATAAGTAACTAAATTACTCATGAAATTGCATTCACGGCAGTAGTAATCAATATTTTCATGTAATAAGTTTCACAGTAATTACACGATATAATCATTGCAAGTTTTATTCATTTAAAAAATGATATTAATATTAGAGATCTGCAAAAGTAGGCCCAGCATGTATCCAGCCCAAATGAGCTTTGGGCTGGGCCTATTTTTCCCAAAAAAATTTAAGTTCAGGCTGGGTTGGGCTTTGGAAAAATTTCATGTTGATTTAAAAAAAGGCCAATATTTTTTATGTTATATAAAATTCAGAGTTGGGCAAATTTTCAAAAAATTGTATTTGGATACAGATATTTTATAAAATTTTGTATTTAAGATACAAGATACTTTAGAAAAATTTCAATAAGATATAAGATACAAGATACTTGTATCATTTTTAAAAAAAAGTATCTAAGATACAAGATACTTAAAAAAACTTTTAATAGTCAAAATCAAAATGTATAAAGCTTTATTTTCTTATCTATAATATAAATTTATAAAATAATTTTAAAATAAGATGTAGAAAATAACAAATTTATTATATAAGATAATGCGATATTTTTTTTAATAATTGTATAATTAGTAAATAATAATAAATCAGCATTATTTTTTAATATTATTAATTTTTCAAATAATTTATCTTTCAATCTTTGACGATTTGGTCTATTAACCATATTAGCAAAGCTAAATAATCGTTCAACAGGGGCAGAGGAGGGTAATTGTTATATTTTAATAAATATTTCTTTTATATATTTATAACTATTTAACATATTTATACTGTGCCTGCCATCTTTCATTAATTTAGGACCTCTAATTCAATATCATTTATTGAATTATTAGAATTGGATGTGGTACTTTTATAAACAAGTATTCATCATCTTCATCAATTGAAGATTTTGTTGATGTATTAATTTCAATATTATTTTAAAAAATAATTAAAGCTTCATGTATTAACAAATCCGGAAGGTATTTTTTCTTTTTCACTATCAATCCAACGATTTTTAAAATAGGGATGAGAAATAGTTGCCAAAAATGCGCCAAAATCATATATATTTTTAAATCTTTTATTTAAAGAATTTTCTACGACAATAGCTAATGGTTTGCAAAAATGTAGATCAGTTTGAATTAAATTTGTAATTTTTTTTAACGACATTTAATAGGAGCTAATTCTCCATAATAGCAGTTGATTTCACTTATTTTGTCAATCGCTATAGCCAATAGGGACATTATATTGCAATATCTTCTAAATATTGAATTTCAATATCTCTTGATTTTGGAAATTCTAATTTTTGACATAATTTAGGAAGTTCGCCTTTAAATTTTAATAAACTACTAAGACTATCAAACATATTATTCCATCTTGTGCAGCAAGGTGTAACTAATTGTTTTCCTAAAACTGCTTTATAAGTTCTGCAGTTTTAGGCCTATTACTAGCCTTCCATAGCTTAGTACATTTGGCTATTGCGGGATGATGAATGTTAGAAATAATGTTAAAAGAATCTTTAATAGCTTTCTCAACATCTGTTGTGGCAATAAGACTTATCGTATGGCACAACGAATGTGGGAATATGAAATGATAATGAATATGATTATAAATGTGATTTATTATATAATTATTTATTATACTTTTAGATGCTTGACAAAATTTGATGACGAGTCTGCAGAATCACTTATAGATTTGTGGCATTCTTTAATTTCTGCAGTAATTTTATTATGATCATGTTGAAGTACTTGAAAAAATATCCCATTTAAAATACTTAATTTAAATTTATAGTTATATTTTTCGGTTGGAGAATTATCTGAAGATGAATATAAACATATTATTCTATTCTTATTCCATTATTTTAAAATAGACGGATATAAAACGATTCAAATAAAATATGGTAGTTCTAATTGTTAGCAAATTGCTATATGACGACCAACGTCATATATCATAAATTATCTTAAAATATCTAAATTCTGATTAAATTTTCCATTTAAATTTTAAAACAATATCATTTTAAATTTTAATACTATTTAAATTAACTAATATATATATTTTTTAAAGTATCTGTATCTTTTTGAATACAAAGTTGGTTAAGATACAAATACTTTTAAATAATATGTATCTTAGATACTGGATACAAGATACTTTCCAAAATTTAAAAAAATATCCGCGATACTGCCCAACCCTGATAAAAATGTTATAGTTTATTGTAGAAACTAGATGCCATATGACATCTATTTTTTATTTTGGAAATGATAATTTAAAAAAAATTTAAATATAATTTCAAAAAATTTTATATATTTAAATAAATTTGAGCCTGGCCAGCAAAACTTTTTTTAAAATTTTGGACCAAGCCAGACTTGAAATTGGGCCCGAAACAGATCATCACTAATTAATATATTTCATGTAATTCACTCTGTAATTATATAAAAAATTTTGGAAAAAAATCTATTCTTTCTATGACTATTAAATTTTGATAAGTAACAAATTTTTGAAAAAAAAATATATAAAAACTTCCTACTTAATTTTCAAATAAGATATAAATTTAAATCTAATTACACAATACCAATAGATTTATCTTTTATATTTAGGCTAATCGTTATTACAAAATCTAAAAAATTATTTTAAGAATAACTGCAATATTTTAATTTGTATTATATAATTTACTAACAACAAAATTTTAACCTTTTGTTTATGATTATGAGATAATAAGTCACCAAAAGGACTTTTTTCAGGTTCATCAAATGCAAGCAATGCTAATGTTTTTTCAAGTTGATCTAATACTTCAGAATTATCTTCTCCATATTCTGCCAAATTATTCTGAGCAAATATAAGTGCATCTTCAATCCTTTTTTGACGTATTAATTCAATTAATTGTTGTTGCTATTATAAAAAAGTATATTTTGAATATTATGTTTGGAATATAAATATACTTGTAGTTGAAAAAATAAATATCGATTATCATCTAATAGTTCTGGGTATTTGTCATTTATTAATGTTATAGATGAATCAATATCTCCATTTTCAATACTTTTCCGAATCTTTACCCGTTCATCCAATTTATTTAGATTAATATTAGCTTGAGTTTCAGATTCTATTTCAAATTTTTCGGCAACATCTTTAAAACCCTCTTCATATTTTTTATTTTTATATTTAAATAAATAAATTACCTTTAATAAAATAATCCATAACAAGTTTATTCATGTCTTTTTGTAATACTTTATAATCTTTAACTATTGATTCCATCCATTCTTCATACTTTATATCTCCTTTATCTTTAGTGGCTTGAATTATGGGTGTTGTCATAATGAAAGGGAGAATTATAATGAAAATACAATAAATAATATGATGGTTATAATGTCAATTCTTGACATAACATATCTCTTAAAATTTTTGTGACATGTGTCAGATTCATATCATATTACTTTATTTAACACCTACTAAACGCTAACTTACGATTTTAGCAAAATTATAGTAGTTATTGATAAATAAGATACAGTATTTGATGTCAGCCACTAAAGGCGTTAACATTAGTGAATATGCTTTAAATTTATACAAAAATCTTCCCAAAATTAATCCTACAAATGTAAAATTAAATCCTGGAGAAAAAAGGAAAAGGCCACATGTAGGGAAAAGAGGACACCATGGCCATTCGCCAAGAGGTGCTATGCAACAACTTGCTTATAAATTCTTAGGGTATGAAGGTGGTAATACTCCTTTTTATAAAAGAATTCCTATAGAAAATTCTTACAATTTTGGACATCAGTAATGAAAATATTTTAAAAATTATTCTTACAAATTCAAATAATTTTGTACATTTTAATTTATATACTAATACTATATAAGATTTTATATATTATAAGCCTATTTAAATACGTGTTGAATGGTACTGTTTAAACAAATCAAATAATTCTTTTTTTATTAAATATTTTAAAATAATTTGAACCAAAATATTTTTATTGCACTAGTCATTTAGTTCAAATTTGATCTAAAATATGTTCTTGCCTCTAAGGGAACCTGAAGGTATTAGATAAACAATTTATCTGGCTTTTAATTTTTTAATAAACTATTTTTTTCTGGAAATATGCATTTGCTAAATTTTGGAATATTTATTGAATCCCTTTAATTTATAGTTTATATATATACACATATTAGAGGTCTCCAATGGATGAGGTTTTAGCCCACCCACATATACTACCAATATGTTAAGCAAGTTAAAAAAAAATTTTCTTGTACAAAATGGATAGGATAAGCATTTATTAAAAATGTATTTCATAATATTGCATATTTTGTAAGTTTAAGTAAAAATATATTAAAATAACAACAAAGAGCCAAATCAAATAATCAAATAATTTTTAAAAATTGGATGGGTGGATAAACAAATTTTTTTATATGAATGAACAAATGAGTGAGTAATTTAGAAAAACTATTGGAAGGCATGCAAATGGGCTAAAAAAAATTAAAAATATTAAGAGAAAAGGCTTTTGTGTTAAAGCCAGCCCATTTCAGTCCTTTAATCCAATCCACTCCAATTTTTATATGCCCTGCTTTTTCTTAAAGTATAAAAATGGAACTAAAAAATTGTTAATCTCAGATTCAATGAAATAGCATCCTACCAATCAAAATTATTATCTTGGGCATCAGGTCTTCCTTTGACCAAGCTATAACATCCATCCAGCAGTCTTTTATACAAATAAACAATACCCACATATCTAAAGAAAATTTCCTTTATTGAGGATATCAGATTCTCAACAACTCACAGATAGAAGGATTAGAATACACCTATAGTAGCTTGCTACATTAAAACTCTTAACCAGTTTGTAATTTCATAACATCCCCAATCCTTCGATCAATGACACTGAACATGACTTTTTTGAAGCCATTCCCTCTATCAAACTGCAACTACAACAATAAACTTACCCATGCCAGATTGGCTTAATTGCACCTTTATGAATATTCAGACTTGCTCAGGCTGGAACTCACCAGTTGACACAAATGGAAAACATAGCCCAAATCATGCAATGGTTGATTTATTAAACATAATCAATTTAACAATCTTAGCCCTGAAATCAGCTCAAATACATTCAATATTCCTGGTCTTTTTAGATCTGATGGTAAATGCCCTGATTCGATTATTCAATGACCATGAAAAAGGGACAAAACTTGTATTGATCCCTCTCCAACATAACCCTCAAATTCACAAATTTTTCACAGATCTAATCCGATATTACCAAAAAACCAATCCGATATTTATATTGATTTTTATTTACCATCTATCTTTGTATCAATGTCATAAAAATATCAATATTTTCTATTTTTAAAAAAAAAACCAATTAACTTTACGAATGATTAAGCACATTTTATTTTTGTTAAATCTCATTTAAAATATTTTCAATGGTTATGGGTAAATGTGGGGTTGTTAAACAGCTCCATTTAGCCTATTTTTAAAAATGGCTGAATTAAGATTTTTGGGAAAAATTTGTTACATAAGCCTCTAAATTTTGCCACTAGAAGTCTAAACCTTTCTGCCATCTGTGGGCAAAATCAATAAGCTTGAGTAATTTACTTTTGGCCAAAATCTTGAGTCAAACATTTTTATAAATTGTCTAAACCGAGACGTTTAGCAACATTAGATGAATGACTCGTTAGATATTTTAAAATCCTGATAATAATACAAAAAATAGTTTAAAATTTTCAACTATTTTTTCATTACAACAAATAAATAGTATTTTAGTTCCTTTCGTTAATTTATTATAATAAATTTATTCATAAAATAAAAAAAATTATATTATTATATATATAATCATCATATAACCAAAAACAATAAAAATATCGGATCGGAAACACTTTATCACTTTTGGTAAACTCTCGCCCTATCATTCTTCAGAAATCTGTAAACACAACTGAAGAACGCGAAAGTTTTTTTCCTCCTACAAAGGCTCATCATAGCAATTCTCTAAAAGGCAATTTCCTTAGTTTTAATGGAAATCGCACCGAAAGATTCTTATTAATTATTTTTTTATAATTTTTTTTAGAATATATATTTTTCTAAATACATATTACTTTATATTTTAATTTATACTTATGAGGTTTTTAATAATATATTTTGATTATATATATTATTTATTAGTTTTAGTTTATCGTTATCTATAAATAATTGAAAATAAGGTTTTGTTATTCCTGCAATGATTAAAACAGCCCTTTCACTATCTATTACTAATCGGTTATTTTAAAAATTAATACCACAAAGAGTGTATTATTGGTATTTCATTTATTTATATTTATACAAATATTTAGGGCTGTGCCGATATAGCCAATTTTAAAAACTTAACTCAAGATTTTGGTCAAAAATTATTTAAGCTTATTGATTTTGCCCACAGATGACAGAAATGTTTGGACTTCTATTTGCGAAATTTCGAAGTTTATGTAATATTAATTTGGTTAAAATTTTGATTTAGCTCTTTTTAAAAATCGGCTAAATGGAACAACACTACATTCACTCATAAAAATTGTAAATATTTAAATGAGATTATCTTTTGGGGAATAAAATAAAATACACTTAATCATTCGTGAAAGTTAGTTGGTTCTTTTTTTAAAATAGAAAATAATGATATTTTAATGACATTGATACAAAGGTAGAAGGTGAATAAAAATCAATATAAACATTGGATTGGGTTCGTTGAAAAATTTATGGATCGGCACAGCCCTGCAAATAATAAATTATTCGAATTAAGATTATAAAATTTTTTTTAAAAAATATGATATATTAAATATAAAGAAAATTTAAAAAAACAGTTAGAGGAATGAAATTACTTTGATGAATGACTATTGTGTAAAAAATTATTAATCAAATTTATCCTTTTATAATCAGTAAATAAAATATATATTATAAAAAAATCGTTATTTACAATCAAATTTTTCTTATAATTTGTAAATAATTAAAATTATTTATTGTACATTATTATGAATCGTAATGCTATTATGTATAAATAAAGTAATATTATTTATACTTAAGGATTTTATATAGTACATAATCTATCAAGGAAGTTTTCTATAAAAGTTTTTTATGCGAAAATTTGATTATAAACATCCAAGGGGGTTTGGATTTTTTTATAACCCCCCCCCCCCACCCCTTTCATAATTCCTGGCTACACCATTACTTTAAATAGAAGGCTTTGTTATGATCGCCACTTATTTTGGTTAATTTTTTATCTAAATTTTAGGAAACCTTTCTTCCTTAGGAAAAAAAAATAGTGGTGATTTTTTTTCCGGGGAGAGTTATTCTCTACCATTAATGACAAATTAGATAAATCCCCTATTTATTTAAAAAGTTCCGCTGAACTAAAGGTGGAGGCACTTCTATTAGATCATGCTGAAAAATCTAATTTATCGAATATTATTTGATTCAAATAAAACAAATTTTTTTAAAAAAAGTATTATATTTTACTTTGTTTTATTCATGTAGTGTTGTTCAAATAATCCATTTTATTTGAATTGCTTATTTGTATTCAAACTAAACGAATAATCTATTAATTTTATTCGTTACTATCCGATTCCTTTCGAAACGAATATTCGATTCGTATTTGGATATGCCTAGTTAATCTATTTTGTTTGAATTGCTTATTTGTATTCAAACTAAACGAATAATCTATTAATTTTATTCGTTACTATCCGATTCCTTTCGAAACGAATATTTGATTCGTTTTTGGATATGTCTAGTATATCCTTATTCATTTCACAATTTTAATGACTTATTTAGAAATCAACATTTAAATGTTAATCTAATACAAACTTTAAACTCTTGCCAATTAACTCATTTAATAATATGACTATCCCCCCCCCCCCCATCTAAGCCAGTGATAATATTATCCCTCCTAGAAAAATTTATATTCTATTTCCCTAAATAAAAAAAACGAAATTAAAATTAGCAAAATACCCCACCCCCTAGTCCTCAAATTTTAATAGGGCTGTGCCGATATTAAAATCAAATTATAAATGTGCCTATCTCGGATTGCTATAAAATAAGTAGTAAATTTTTAATGCATAACCATCTTAGAATACTTATAAAACTTTAAAATAAGTTATCAAACAAAAATATTTTAAAGAAAAGTCAGCATCGACAAATGAAATGAGCCTATGTTATGGATCGGTTTTTAACACTTTTTTGCCGATCCGATTCAGAACAAGTTCTAGATCCGCTATTCTGACGCCTCCTTATAATAATTTTGTTTTATAACAAGGTTTAATGTTATATCGATACTCCAAGATGTTTATGCATAAAATATTAGCTGCCAATTCTAAGAAATACACTTTATAAACAGGTCATTTTAATATCGGCAGTGTTAAACTCTAATGAAGATTTTCAGCCATACCACTCCCCCTATCTCACGCATGTTAGAAGTGCTTATATGAGGGCCATAATACATGGAAATATTAAAAGAAATTTTCTATGAACTTGTATTTTCTTTTCCAATTTTTTAACATTTACATGTGTAATTTTAAACTTTTATCATTTTGCAGGTCAGATTTACTTGACAAACCCCCTTCTTATTTCAATATTGAATTGTATAAATGCATAATTTAGTCAAACTTTTCCAAAAACGGCAACCTACTTCATTTTAATTAATCTTTTTTAGTGTTAGAAGAGAATATCCATCTTTATCATTATACCAGTTACAATTAATGATCGACACAGGACGGATTGATCCTACTCAACCGATAGATTTATTGAAAATTCTCAATACCAAAATTATAAAATTTGATCGGGATAATTATTATGGCATAAATTTGATCGATAAAGTATGTAAATTTAATTACAATAGAATTTCTAGATGGGCATAATTAAGTCGATAAAATGTTAATTTAATTTAAGACTGATAATTAAATTTTTTTAAATTATAATATAACCTCATTTTTACAGTTAAAAAGTTTGTGATTACCCTCTCCCCTCTCTAAATCCAGATTGCAAGGGTTTAAAATAGGGACCTGGAACAAAGATACTTTATATACTCTCCTTCTGGACAAAAAATATGTTCCAAGTTTAGGTCAGACCGTGTTACTGAAAAATATCTAACTATCAATATACAAATTATCTTCATATTTTTATCATAAAAAAAAATTATTTATATTCTATAAACAAATATCATTTATATTTTTATGAAGGTGCTATTGTAAATTTCTTCTTCGAAAAACACATTTCAACGCCAATTGGTAAAACTTATTTTATTATATAAGTATCAGAAATATGCAGGCTTGCGTACACAAGCCGGGCTGAATATTTTTAAATCCCCATTATTGTCTATAAAAATTAAATATAAAAATGGTGTTTCTTTGGACATATATCACATTCATTCACTTATCCTATTTACATTTTTTTGATTCTTAGATAATATTTCTCATAAAATATTATTCAACTCGTTATTTTAGATGGTATTCAATCAAATTAAAAGTAACAATGATACACCCAATATTCAAAATATCGTATATTTTTTAAGAGAAAATGTTATTTTAGATTAGTATCATTTTAACTCTTTTCCCTGTCCCAAATAGTGTTGCGTAATCGGCTTATTTTAGCCGACTAAAAACGGCTTAGCCGAGATTTTAGGTGGAAAAATCGGCTAAGCCTAATTAGGTATAGCCTAAAAATCGGCTAAGCCTAAAAATCAGGCTAAGCCTAAAAATCGGCTAAGCCTAAAAATCGGCTAAGCCTAAAAATTGGCTAAGCCTAAAAATGGGCTAAGCCTAAAAATTGGCTAAAATAAATTAGTCAAAATTCTGCATCGATGCTTAGCATTAATTATTATTTATTTATTTTAGTAAAATAATTTATTTTATTTATATTTAATATAAATATTTTATTATTATCAACAAATAAACATGATATGATTATATTTTTTATTTATATTATTATATTTTGAAATGAAAATAAATTTATTTATTTGATGTTTTTTTAATAAAAAAAATAATATGCTGCTATATTGTAAAAATGTAATATTCTTTATAATATAATTTATTAGTGATTTTCACAATCTTCTTTGTAAATACATCTTTTATTGAGGAATTATATTGTAAATTTTATTAGATAAATAAACAATCTTTTAGGTGAAATATTTTATCTTTTTTTCTAAAATTATCTATTTATTATTAAATGAGGTGGATTTTATGAAACTTTTTTGATGTTATTTTATATGATCTTTTTAAAGATAATATTTTAATGTGACAATTGTCATAATCGTTCTTTTATAAGTTTTTTGAATTTTTTTGAAGGAAGTATGTTAAAATAAGTATTAATAACATGTGTAAATACAAATTTAGTGAAGATGTACCAATGAAAAGTGACAATTGTCATAATCGTTATTTTTAAAGTTTTTCGAATTTTTTTGACGAAAATATGTTAAAATAAGAATTAATAACATGTGTAAATATAAATTTAGTGAAGATGTACCATAGAAAAGTGACAATTGTCATAATCGTTATTTTTAAAGTTTTTTGAATTTTTTTGACGAAAATATGTTAAAATAAGTATTAATAACATGTGTAAATATAAATTTAGTGAAGATGTACCAATGAAAAGTGACAATTGTCATAATCGCTATTTTTAAAGTTTATTGAATTTTTTTGACGAAAATATGTTAAAATAAGTATTAATAACATGTGTAAATATAAATTTAGTGAAGATGTACCATAGAAAAGTGACAATTGTCATAATCGTTATTTTTAAAGTTTTTTGAATTTTTTTGACGAAAATATGTTAAAATAAGTATTAATAACATGTGTAAATATAAATTTAGTGAAAATGTACCATAGAAAACTGACAATTGTCATAATCGCTATTTTTAAAGTTTTTTGAATTTTTTTGACGAAAATATGTTAAAATAAGTATTAATAACATGTGTAAATATAAATTTAGTGAAGAAGTACCAATGAAAAGTGACATTTGTCATAATTGTTATTTTTAAAGTTTTTGAATTTTTTGAAGAAAATATGTTAAAATAAATTAAAAACATGTTTAAATTAAAATTTAGTGAAGATGTGCCATAGAAAAGTGACAATTGTCATAATCGTTATTTCTAATTTTTTTGACGAAAATATGTTAAAATAAGTATTAATAACATGTGTAAATATAAATTTAGTGAAGATGTACCAATGAAAAGTGACAATTGTCATAATCGTTATTTTAAAGTTTTTTGAATTTTATTGACAAAGATATTTTAAAAAAAGTATTGATAACATGTTTAAATAAAAATTTAGTGAAGATGTACTCTAGATAAGCGACAATTGTCATAATCGTTATTTTTAAAGTTTTTTGATTTTTTTTGACGAAAATAGTTAACTTGCATCGATATTGATTTTAAAATAGAAAAAAAAGTTTACCCAAATTTTAAACAAGATTGTCTGATGATAATTGGTAAAAAAATAATAATTTCTAACTTAGGATTAGATATTATGATATAAATTTTGCATATTAATTTCTGACCCGATGAACAAATGTAATAAAATGCCAATTTGCTCCTGTTTTTGGGGAAGAATCTATTATTACCATATGTTTTTCTATGGCATATACTCAGGCAATTTTAATTTTACAATCTATATTTTTACCCATTTACATCAAAGAAATTTTAAAAATAACGATTATGACAATTGTCACTTTTCTATAGTACATCTTCACTAAATTTTTATTTAAACATGTTATTATTACTCATTTTAACATATTTTCGTCAACAAAAATCAAAAAACTTGAAAAATAATGATTATGACAATTGTCGCTTATCTAGAGTACATCTTCATTAAATTTTTATTTAAACATGTTATATATACATATTTTAAAATACGTCAAAAAAATTCAAAAAACTTTAAGAATAACGATTATGACAATTGTCACTTTTCATTGGTACATCTTCACTAAATTTATATTTACACATGTTATTAATACTTATTTTAACATATTTTCGTCAAAAAAATTTAAAAAATAACGAATATGACAATTGTCACTTTTCATTCACTAAATTTATATTTACACATGTTATTAATACTTATTTTAACATATTTTCGTCAAAAAAATTCAAAAAACTTTAAAAATAACCATTATGACAATGTCAATTTTCTATGGTACATCTTCACTAAATTTTATTTAAACATGTTATCAACACTTATTTTAACATATTTTCTTCAAAAAAATTCAAAAAACTTATAAAATAACGATTATGACAATTGTCACTTTTCTATGGTACATCTTCACTAAATTTTTATTTAAACATGTTTTTAATACTTATTTTAACATATTTTCTTCAAAAAAATTCCAAAAACTTATAAAATAACGATTATGATAATTGTCACTTTTCTATTGTACATGTTCACTAAGTTTTTATTTAAACATGTTCTTACTACTTATTTTAACATATTTTCTTCAAAAAAATTCAAAAAACTTTAAAAATAACGATTATGACAAATGTCACTTTTCATTGGTACATCTTCACTAAATTTATATTTACACATGTTATTAATACTTATTTTAACCTATTTTCTTCAAAAAAATTCAAAAAACTTATAAAATAACGATTATGACAAATGTCACTTTTCATTGGTACATCTTCACTAAATTTATATTTACACATGTTATTAATACTTATTTTAACCTATTTTCTTCAAAAAATTCAAAAACGTATAAAATAACCATTATGACAATTGTCACTTTTCTATGGTACATCTTCACTAAATTTTTATTTAAACATGTTTTTAATACTTATTTTAACATATTTTCTTCAAAAAACTTTAAAAATAACGATTATGACAATTGTCAATTTTCTATGGTACATCTTCACTAAATTTTTATTTAAACATGTTATTAATACTTATTTTAACATATTGTCGTCAAAAAAACTTTAAAAATAACGATTATGACAAATGTCATTTTTCATTGGTACATCTTCACTAAATTTATATTTACACATGTTATTAATACTTATTTTAACCTATTTTCTTCAAAAAAATTCAAAAAACTTATAAAATAACGATTATGACAATTGTCACATTAAAATATTATCCTTAAAAAGATCATATAAAATCATCAAAAAAGTTTCATAAAATCCACCTCATTTAATAAAAAAGATAATTTAAAAAAAATGATAAAAAAATTATAAAAGATTTCACCTAAAAGATTGTTTATTTATCTAATAAAATTTACAATATAATTCCTCAATAAAAGATGTATTTATAAAGAAGATTGTGAAAATCATTAATAAATTATATTAAAAAGAATATTACAATTTTACAATATAGCAGCATATTATTTTTTTTATTAAAATAACATCAAATAAATAAATTTATTTTCATTTGAAAATATAATAATATAAATAAAAAATATTAAATCATATCATGTTTATTTGTTGATAATAATAAAATATTTACATTAAATATAAATAAAATAAATTATTTTACTAAAATAAATAAATAATAATTAATACTAAGCATCGATTTGACTAATTTTTAGCAGATTTATATAGGCTTAGCCGATTTTTAGGCTTAACCTAATTAGGCTTAGCCGATTTTTAGTTTTAGCCGATTTTTAGGCTTACCTAATTAGGCTTAGCCGATTTTTAGGCTTAGGCTAATAGGCTTAGGCGTAGTTTTTAGCCGATTACGCAACACTAGTCCCAAATTCAAGCAATTACCTATGTTGCCAGTGAGAGAGCTCATAACTGATACTATATATTAATTACAAGAGGAACAGGAAATAAGGGTATTACTATCGACCAGTCGAATAGCAAATGTGGTGATTCAAGCTCACTACTTTTTCGACAATTGGGGAGATTAAGTTTATATATGGATTTCATATTCGCTGAAAAACGATCCTTGAAAAGTCGAATAGGCATATATATATTTTTTTAAAACAAAGGCTGTAAAAAAAAAATTTATACATCCTAGATAAAGAATTCTGGCGAAAAAATTTTTTAAAAAAAATCTGAAATCTGACCGAAAAACTTTTTTTTTAAAAAAATCGAGCCAGGTTTGAAAATATGAAACCTGAGCAGGCCCGAAATTTATTTAAAAAATGAGGCTCGAGCCGTGCAAATAGTACATTTGTAGGTCTCTGATTAATTTTATATCACATCAGTAAATTTGACCATTCAATTGGCAATAATATTGTTATGTAAAATAAAATGTAATTAAAAAAAGCCTAAACAACGATATTTATAAGCTATTATTAGGTCTGTGCTGATAATTAATATCGGATAGGCATCGATATTTAGCGTTTTCAAAAATATAGGATCGGGCCGATCTTTTTTATTTTTTTTGGTTATTTTATAATTGTATAATCATATAAATTTTTTTATTTTATAATTTCAATGAAAGGAACTAATTTACAATTTATTTGGTGTAATGTTTAAAAAAATTGTTTTTTTACACTATTTTTTGTTATATTATCTGCAAAAAGAAAAGGATTTTAAAACATCTAACGAGTCACATTCAGTTAGTGTTGCTAAACGACTCGATTTAGCCAATTTTAAAAACGATTAACTTAACATTTTAGCCAATAGTAAATTACCCATGCTTATTGATTTCCCCCCAAATATCAGAAAGGTTTGGACTTCTATTGACGAAATTTCGAGGTATAAGCAATAATATTTTGATTTGGCCCTTTTTAAAAATCGTCTAAATGGAGGTTTAACACCACATTGCAAATATTATAATTGAAAAAACATGAAAAATAAAATACACTTAATCATTCGTGATAGTTAGTTCGTTTTTTTTAAAGTAGAAAATATTGATATATTAATGACATTGATACAAAGATAGATGGTAAATAAAAATCAATATAAATAGGATCGGTTAAAGATTTGTGGATCGGCACAGACCTAGCCATTATAAATATTTACAATACAATGGTATAATAAATTAAAATTTCCTTGTTGTTTTTCGTAACATTGTGGAATTGTACCATGAATGTCAGAATTGTCGTTCCATTCTATAAGTGTTCCAGGTCCCTGGTTAAGTGAATATTTTTTAATAACTTTATTGCTTTCATTTAAATAATTTGTTTTGATTTTAGCTAACGTTTATAATTTCATAAATAAAACCATTGAATTAGGGAATGGATCTTTTTTGTGCCAAGGTAAATATAGAAGTGCAATGGGCTTCTGAATTGGTTATAGCAGCTGTTGAAAAAGCCGGTGGAAATATAATAACTTCTTATTACGATCCTCTTAGCCTTTCGATTCTCAAAAATCCCCTCAACTTTTTTGCTAAAGGTGAAGCCATCCCCAGAAGACTTTTCCCCCCTAAAGAATTAGTGGATTATTATTCGAATCCAGCAAACCGAGGCTATTTGGTTCCCTTTATAAGTAATTCAAATTCAGAGTTTCAAGTAGATATAAATGGATTCAACAGTGCCTCAATTGCTCTATGGGCTAAAAAGCTTGAGACTGCCCAAAAATTTGGATATGATATATATTTTCATGCTGGTGGTGAACAAACAGGAGGTTCAATTTTATATATTTTGCAGATGCTTGTATAGTACAGGTCTAGATGGTCTGTAGCAAAGTTTTCTGGGCTAGACAATTTGCACAAAATTATTTTACTGAAAATCATTTTCAAAAATTTATGGGCCAGTTTAGGATTATCTCTACTGCAGGCTCATGCTAATAAAATATTATGATTTTAAAGACTTAATACACAAGCCTGTCTAATTTTTTAACTGACTAAGGATCATTTAAGAATTTCTCATAAATATTATTTTAAAAATCTTGACCAGACTTTAAAAATGATAAAATTTATAAAACTAAGATTGATCCTGAAAATAGGTAAATTTAAAGGTCTAATATTTTTCATATTAGATGTTGCTTATTATATATTTATTTTTATTCTATTTTTAGATTTGCCAGTTAAAATAACCTTAGAAAATATAAACGATTTTTGGAAGCAACCTACAAATTCTAATTCACATACTAAATATCCACCCTTTCCTTCTAAGCTTTTTACCCTAAAAAATCCGACTCAAATATTTGAGGGAATAAATCCAGGTTGGGTTGTAAATTTAAAAGATAAGCTCATACTTAAACCTAAAGGTGATGCATGGAAAACATTTTATGGAGGCATGTATATGAATTAGTTTTTATTATTAAATAATAATCGCTGTTCAGTTTAGATATATATATTTTATAAATAAATTGACACAATATCTGTTGCTTTAAACCGATCTTTATTAATTATAAAAAATAATATGAGCAGTAAATTAATATCATTTCTATCTACTACTAACGGATTTGCATTTGATTACTAACATCTTCTTTAACTTTATGATCACATGGGTTGGCTGATGCTTCATAATTACATAAAATTATTTCTTGTCGGAATGGCTAAGATTATTTAAAATAAAATTACATGCAAAACTATAAGACAATTAGTAAATATCAGAAGTTTAAGCCCAAAAAATAGTATAATTTTAAAAATCTGAGTTGGGCTTATTTAAAAAATTTGTTTAAATAATATTAATTAATCCGTTGGAAAACCATGTTAAGGAGTCTTCAATATTATTCGATAGCCTGGGGGGAGGGGAGCCCACGCGAAAAATTTTAATTTTTAGAAAATACCTAAAAAAATTTTTTAAAAAATGAGTAATTTAAAGCTGAGCTCTCTTATTTTAAATTTCTTTTGAAACAATTTGCAATTATTCAAAATAACAACATTTTAAAATTCTAAACTGAACTATAAAATTATAAAAAAATCCTAAGTTGGGCTTAAAATTTTGACCTCTGTAAGTCTGGTAAATATACTGTATTAGATATGAAGTTTCATAAAAACTGGTTTTTAGTTGAAACCTTTTTATTTATGACCCTTTCTTATTAAATAAAATATATATCTACTAAAAAAAATTACCCTTAGAAAATCTCCAAACAGACCAATATAATAAACTTTTGTCCTTGTAGAGCCATAATTTTTGGGTATGTATATTGTAAGATGATATATGGATGAAAATATAGTTGCCCTTTGTTTAATAAAATCAAAAAATAGATGGTTATATTTTCGGTTGCTATTAGCAGATACTTTCAATTTTAACTGATACTATAGGCCAATACCCTAAATAATAATTAACTATCTTAATTTAAAAAAAATGAGATTACGTTAAACTATGAATTGGTAAGGAAAAAATTATGTACAAATTTCTAAACAGATAAGAAAGAAAGCATAGTTGATTTTTATATATTTCTTTTAACTTTAAAAATGTTGTTGCAGATAGAGATGTGAACCTGGGACCTTTTAAATTCAATTTTTTTTTCAAAAAGTCATTTTTTTTATCTCTTCTCATTTTTCAAAATTTTCTGGTTTTTATACTTCCATGGGAATTATTTGTTTTCATTTATATTAATTTTAGAAGGTGATGTGTAAATTTTGTAGTGTAGGTTATAATATTTTTATAAATGATAATTTTATAATAAGCTATATAATTGGGAATAAGTTGCTTATCTTGTTTTATATCAATTTTAGAAAGTAAAATATTGAGAATTTTATAGAAGGCAACAAACCAAACTTCCTTCCCCCATCGCAAATATGCCTGCTCTCATAAATATCATTTTAAGGTAGCAAAAATTTTCCCCCCACAAAGGCCTCACTCCTAAAAATGTAAACAATATATTACTATTTGAAAGATAAATTAGTAAAAGTTAATAACTTTTTAAATATAGATTATAATTCAAAATTTTTGGAAAAAGACATATTTAAAAAAATTAAAACCCATTATTTTTATAAGAATCTAATATAGTCAAAGGCCTACAATAGTGGACCTAAAGATCTCAAATAAAATTTATGTTGGGGAAGGGGGGGGGGCAACCTAATAATACCCAATCCCGGTTGTTACTTATGTTTTGAGCAGAGTTGTTAAAGTAGCGCGCTATCTTTTTTGATAGCTATAGCTAATAGCCGCTACTTTTTTTAAATTATTTAATTTTTTAGCACGCTACTTTTTTTAAAATTTTAAAAAATATAATGAATGTAAGTATAAACATGAAAATTTAAATATAATATCATAATTAATTATAATTTTTATAATTTAATTTTGAAATTTAAATATATTTTCAATTTTTAATTTATATCTTCAATCTGTGTTAATAATCTAAAATGGCATCGCCCATGGATATCCAAATCCTTGAAAGTGATGATTCAGACATGGAAGATTCAATGGAAGTAAATGTACTTAATAGCTCTAATAACGATTTCCCATTCCTTAGATTTGAAAAAATTTTAAAATAAATATTAAAACAAAATCTGGATTCAAAGTCCTGTGCTTAAAATGTAAAAAAAATATATCATCAAATCAATCGAGTAGCTATAACCTGAAGAAAGACCTAAAGGTAAATTGTTATTTTTACATTATAATATTATTTATTTTATTAGACTGTTCACGCCAATTGCTATAAGTAAATAGAGAAACATAAAAAAATTTTGGTATAAGAGAATCTTCATTCAAAAAGACAAATACTATCCAAATTAACTGATAATAAACATGCCAATATTTCACAAAAATTGGCTGATAAAGTAATAGTTGATTTTATTATTGACACAGTTCAGCCATTGTCCTTGGTTGATAATCCATCATTTACTATGATGATTAAAACTTTATCCCCTGGCACAACAGTTTTATGTCGCCAGACACTTATGAATAAAATAGCCGACAACTTCAAAGTGATGAAAGATGCTCTAATAGTAGAGTTATCAGATATATCTTATATATGTACACCGGCAGATAGTTGGACACATAACAGAAGGTAAAAACTTATTTATATTTATAAATTGATCTGATTAAATATTTTTAGAGCTTCCTTGCCCTCAAGTGCTAGTTTCGAGAGATTATTTAGTAAAGCAAAGCTTATACTTTCTGATCGTCGCTCTAGACTTAGGGATGATAATATTGAAATGATATTATTATTAAAATGCAACAAATTAAAATAAATATTTATTTATATTGCTTATTTTTTTATAATCTAAATTAACTATATTTTTATATTTATAAATGTTGATTTTTATATATTATTTATTATACATTTACATTATAAGCAAAATAGAAATAAAAAAAATTTGTTTCTAAAATTTTTTTTATAAAAAGTAGCTAATAGCGCGCTACTTTTTTTGACAAATAGCTATAGCGGTAGCGCGCTAATTTTAAAAATAGCATTTAACAACTCTGGTTTTGAGTGTAGGTAATTATATTTTATTATAAACAATGTTAAGTGCTATGTGATTAAATAAAACATTTAAAAAATAAATAAATTTTTTAACTGTAAATTATTCTAAGGAGTATAAAAAAATAAATAGTAGAATTTTAAGTCAATATTTCCTTATGATCTCCTAACCTGGACCCAACCCCTTTTCTAAAATTTTATCCCTAAACTAAATCCTCTTTTATGTTAAAGGGTTCACATCCCTGGATGCAGATTTAGCTTTATTATGAAAAATAAACATGTAACAAAATCAAAAAGAAACATTCTAAAATAGAATTAGATATAATATATTAAATTGATTGTTATAAAAAGGTTATTAATAAAAGAATTTATTTTGATATAGATTTATGTTAAACAGACAATAAAATTTGATCATAAGTTTATATTAATTAATATTTTGGTGGAAGACTATAAAATTAATCCAAAAAAATTGACATCATTGATTGACCAAGTTGGTATTCCCAAATTACAACTTAAAATATTTTATTTATAAGATGTTGTGATGTAATAAATAGAGATCTGCAAAAGTTGGGTTTGAGCCTATTTTTTAAAAAAAATCAGGTTCCGGCTGGGCCGGGCCTAATATATTTTAAAAAATTTGGGCCAGGTTGTGTTTTGGAATTTTTTTTAATATCAAAATTTATCAATTTTATGTTGAATTTTTAGTAAAATAAAAATATTTGATTTTATTTATAGAAAAGATGCCATATAACATATATCATTTATTTTGAGTAATTATAAAAATTAATTTCTAAATTTAAATAAATTCAGGCCAGGGCAGGCTGGTAAATTTTTTAAAAAAAATTTCGGGTTCGGGCTGGCAAAACTTTTTAAAAAATATTTCAGGCCCGGGCCCAGCTTGAAAAATTAGGCCTGATGCAGATCACAAACAGATATATCATAAAATCATTCTAATGGACTGTATTATAGAATAGATAATATATGTCCATACTTCAGTGTATAATCTAATTTGCCATTAGGGTCTGGATGTAATTTAAAAGTTTGATCAGCTTCCACTTGAGTATCATCAAATGACATAGTTGGTCTGTTTTTAAATCTTATAGAATAATCTTGGTTAAAATTAAATGAGTAATTAACTTACAATCTAATTTCAGAAGGATGGGATGTACCTTCACCACCTAATACAACAATGCTCTTCAATTTCACATTTCCTAAAAAACTAAAATTAAACTATCTATATTAAGTAATAATTTCAAAAAATTAATATAATCATAATAAACAGTAATTATAATAAAGTTAATTTTATTATTCAATTATAAAATTTAATATACGGAATATTAACGAGCAATTCTTCATCAACGTCACTTTCGACGAACTAATAATTCAAAATATTAATTACTTAATTGTATTTTACCTGTGTTTTATCTAAACGATTTTCAAAAGGTTTGAAAATTTCCTTTCCAGAATTTTCTATTAATTCATTAAGACATTGTATTTTGGGGTGATCCAATTTAGAATAAAGGCTATTTTCCCCTTTAGATAGATCATCCTTTATATTTTCATGCTGACAACCCTGATGGTGACAATGATCACCCATATTGAAATCTATGAATGCATGGGATAAAAAAAAATTTCTCATGCAAGTGGAAATGTAAACAATTATAATAGGTAGATTGAGTACTGACCAATATATAAAAATATTATCCTAAATTTTAATTAAAAACAACCTTTTGAGATATATAAAAAAAATTAATAACTTATAGGTACGTCCTAGTTGGGGAAGGTGGCAAGGAGAAATCCCCCTCCCAAAATTTGCTTGTTCGTTTAAATGTGATTTTAAATGAAAGGTTTTAACCCTTCACCCCCCCCCCCCTCCCAATGTAAATAATATATTGCTAAAGAAGATTTTGAAAGATAAAATATTAAAAATTAATAACTTTTTAAAATAAATACTAAAATTCAAAATTTTTAGAAAATAAAATATATATATAAAAAAAAGTCAAAACCCAAGATTATGTAGATAAAAGCTAACAATGAGTAGATCTAAAGATCTCAAAAAATTCATGGGGAAAAGTTTACCTAATAGTGCTCTCCCCTTAGCCAATTTCTGGGTACGCTTATGAAAATAACTGAACATTGTCGTATTTAAAATTTTTATAAAAGAGGAGGGTGAGACATTTGAGGTTTTTACAATAAATTTTATAAGATTTTCCAAATCCCCTTTTAAGACCTTGAAGGAGATAAATTAGTTATCTTTATTCGGTCAATTATAAGGAGAGGATATATTGAAAACAAAATAGCTAGACTATAAGTTGGAGGTAAACATAGACGCCTGTAGTAAGTAATTGAAGTGGGTAGGTAGAAGGTATTTTATTTATCTTTTATTTTATAATATTATTTTAAATAATAATTTTTAACAATTAAAAAATAAAAATAACTTTTTGATATATATAGTAAGTTATTAGTTAACAATAAGGTCAAATAAAATGTTAATAAAAAATATAAGTTTGTTAACATTTTTTAAAGATAAAATAAATTTGGTATGAAGGTGAAATGTTTATAAGTTGTTTTGTTCGTTAAAATAATTAGTTTGAATAATGAAATAAAAGGAAAACTTAAATATAAAGTAATTAATTTTTAAAGAATAAAAAAATATACAATAGTGCCCAAATTAAACATAGAGGGATGTGTTACGAAAACTTACTGAGCTTAAATTAGGTTCTGAATATTGTAGTATTGGTTAAAATTTTGAAAAGTGGGTTCCAGTGTGGTTTATAAATTTGATATAGTTCCAGGCATTGGCTCCAGTTCCAAAACTCTATTTGGACTGGAAACTGGAATTAGGAGTGCTAAAAGTATTCTACATCTAATTATTCATAAGAATATTATTAGAAAAGATATTTTTATTAATATTCAAAAGTTGAATGATAATTTGCGGTGACTATACCAATTAATTTATTTGTATGCAAAATATTATTTTCCTTGTTTAAAGATTGGCCTGAAGCAACTGTATGACTTATCACTAGCATTGAGTTTAAAATAATATTTATAAGAATTTGAAAATGCTCGTAGGTCTTGTAGACGTAATGATGAGCTATTTTACCTAATAAATAAAGATATTGATAATATCATTCCTTTATTTTATCTTAAAATAAATTATTTATTTTAAAGTTTCGAACAAAATTTTTAAATTAGCTTAAATGATTTTACTCGTTATAAAAAGATTAGAAGTTAAAATTAAAAAAAAATATTTATTATGTCAAATTATAGCGAAATGACCACACATTAAGCCCCGACAAACAGAAAAGTCTAGTGTCGTCACTCGGCGATGATAGGGAAGATTCCTTCTTATGAAAAATTTTAAAGTCGGAGGAAAGATTTTCTCATGTAGAAGAATTTTAGGAAGAAATATAGGATAATTACATATTTTAATAAATATTTTGATATTGGATTTATATCTGTTTACTATTTTTCATTATAAAAAAATATATAATTTATTGCAAAATATGAATTTTTTTTTCTATTAATAAAAAGATAAAAGTTGCTTGTCCGTGTTAATTTTGGTTTATTACGCTCATGGGTGCATGCGTTGTTTAAAAAAATGGTGGAGGGGAGAGGATTGCGATTTTTATTTTATATATTTTTAAAATTTATGATATATAAAATAGGAATTTTTGTTTTCTTTAAGCTGTATTTTTCTCTGAAAAGATTTCATTCTCCCGCGATTATTCATTTTCCATATTATAAATGTATGGAATCAATTCTGATATCGAAGATCCATTAAGATTTACGAAAATTAAATTTGACAAATTATTTACTCTTTCCCTCGATTATCTCCCATGATCATAATCATAAGAAAACTCTTTTTACACTCGGCAGTATTGTAGGATAAAGTATCAACAAGAGTTAAGAAGTTTTTAAATTTATCATTAGTTATATCTCCATCGATATTTTGTTGAAGCTCAGTAATCGTTTCATATTTATTTACTTTGAATCCTTGGTATATTCTATATTTTCCTCTAGCCAACTCGCGCATCTAGATTCTTAAGCCAATTTTATTTGAAGTTATTAAATAAAAAATTATTTGATTCATATGCTATCCATTAAAAGGGACTGTACGTATTATAGATGAATTATAATTTGGTCTATTTTTTTTATCTAGTTTTGGATTTATTAATGATATATTTTTGAATAAAAGTGTAATTTTTGAATCGAGCGACATCTGTAAATATTTCTATATGCAGTGTCTATATGAAAAGGGACAAGAGCGATTTACTATAATATTTTCGAAGGGGGGTAGGCATCAAAGGTTAGATAGTGAAAATAGACACTATTTGTAGCTTAAAGATAAAAACAACTGATAAAAAAATTAATTTATTTTAGATATTTATATTTGATTCATTCATAGAAAACATTTTAGTACAGGGGGAAGTTGTTCATTCTAGTGGCTATTGTTTGGAACACGATTAGCAACAACTATTTGATTATCACAAACTAATGTTATTTGTTATTCCTTGCCTAAATAATCATAAGGCCTGAAAGAGTTTAAATAGAATTATTTGAAAGTTATTAATGATGGCTCAATATAAGATTTTAAATTTCTAGAGTTGTTATAGAATAATGGGTGAGATAGCAAATTTGATTTTAGAAGAATTTTGTTTCCAATTATTTTCTGTCATGTAGAAGCTGACTACATGTTATTTTATTATTGTCCACATGTTCCTAATAATTTATTTTTTAATTATTAGTCAGTCAAAAATGTTTCATGAACAAAAGGACACTAAATATCCCAATTTATTATTTCCTTCAAAGTAAATTTATTAATTTTAACAACCGATAACATATCTATTTGAAAATTTTAAACTTCTATTTAATAAAAATTTTGTTAAATTTGGACTATTTCTTGCCTTGAGACAAGAGTATATTTTTTTTTAAGATTGTGTTATCCTTTAGATATAAACTTCGAGAAAGGCTAATATGATAGTTTTCGCTTAAAAATTTAGTTTAGCCTTTTTAGAGTTGGCTCAAAACATGCTAAAATGGAGCTACTTATCACCAATACTCAAGAAGCGACGGCGACATAAAATTAAAAATAAAACCTTTTGCTTCTCCATTTTAAGAAAAATATTTTGACTATAAGAATTTTAATTATTATAACAAGAATAAAGCAAAAAGAAATCCAAATTTAATACAAAAAACTGGGAGGGTTCAGCCCCTCTCAAAATTTGGAAAATGGGCCAAAAATATAAAATAAATTAGCGGGGAAGATTAGTGTCAGTAGCCCCCCCCCCTCGCAATATACCCCTGAATACGCCAATGTATTTTATAATTACTTTATTTACCAACTAAGTTTTGTGTTTAGTGCATTATTAGAACATTAATATTATTAGTAGAATGTGTATAAAGTAGATACTAAAGATTTAATTTGATATATCACATGTTTACAAGAATTTTATAATTTTGATCGTTAAATATGCAATACATATTTGTTAACCGGCGGCGATATTTTGCTAGAACCTATTATCTTAGTTTGGAGGTACAGATATGATTTATAAATACACCATTTTATTGATAATAAGGTTAGTATTATCAATACACACTTTTGCATTTTAATTTATCCTAGTATTGTAATAATATTGGGCAAATCTCTATAATATAAATGAGATTTAATTAGATTATACGAGCAAGATTACATTTCAATAAAAAATAATTAAATGATTGGATATTATACGAATTTGAAAAATATTTAAACCCTTTTATAAATTTTTTAAAAATGGACAAGCCTCCTGAAAATTATTTTGGAAGATTACTTTTTTAGAAGATTACCACAATTTATTTTATTTTAAATTTTTAATCCTTCGCTTTTTCTTAAAATGCAAAAGTTTTCGAGATTCTATATTTTGAAAAGGCTTATTCAAATTTTATTATCAAATAAGAAAAAAAGTACGAATACTATATTTTTTTTAATATGACCCTTGAGAGGTATTATCTAGGATTATTTTAATCTCTCAAAATAATATTTAAACAAATATAAGAAAAAAATTTGTTTATTAACTTAAAAAATAAATAAAAAATACCACTTTTTGTGTATATAATATCTGTTAGAAATTCAAATAAATATAAAAAGTAACCAAAATAGTATCAGTACCAATAATAGATAAGATAAATATATCATGCATACATGCACAGGCCCTCCATATAAGGGAGAAAGTGATATTATTTTCGGATAAAATTATGGTTTATATATTACAATTTTTTTAATGTGGCGTTTAAATCATTAAATCAAGCCAAATATTTGTCTTTAATTCTAATGACATAATACACAACAGAAAAAAATAATATTATATTTTATTCATAATTATAATTCTAAGTTGATCAATTTAAAAAATATTACAGAAATGTGGCTTTCAATTCAAGAGGACCATTTTTTTTGAAACAATAAAAATAGACTGTACAACCTTAACTTCGTTATTAACTATAATGAAAACTGAATGTAATATAGAATAATTTCCATATTAACGTAGTAGTTGCAATATATGTAATAATTGAATGCAAACCTATCTAATTTATGAGACAAGATTTTTGGCCAAACTTAGTAAGCCTAATTAGAACCATTATCTGATATATGGTAGTTTATAAGAATTTGATTGGGAATTAAAATTTGGTCAAATTAGGGAGTTGCCTGGATTATTAGCCCAAATTAAAGTTTTGCTGTATTATTTTTTTTGAATTGCCAAATGACAATATTTCAATGACCTGCTACAAATCAATTTTTGTAAATGACTTTATTAATAACAGCGCATTCATCTAAAAAGATCCTTTTTAGAGCGAAAATGGCAATAGCTCTCAAATACTTTCGGTTTAGTAATAATTTTAAACATAAAAAAAATAAATATTTCTAGTGTTTCTTATGATAAAACTTTTTTTTAAAAAATTACCAGAATAAATAAATTATATAGACAACAGGTATATAATATATTATATATAAACAGAGATTAATGCTTCTAATAGATAAATATTATATAACCATAAGCCCTTATAATTTAAATATGATTTATTTATTCAAAAAATTAAGGTTATATTATTAAAAAATACTAAAATTTTAATGGCGAAAGTGTCTGAAATCTAAAGAGTAGGTGGTAGATGTATCCAAGCTAGAATACGATTACGGCAAAATCAAGTTTTTTTTCGAAAATTCAAAAAGGGGCTTTAAATTCTATAAAATTTAATTTTTAATAAAAATTAATAAATAAATATAATTTGATTATATTTAAATACGATTTTAAAAAGGAAACTGACCCAAAGATCAAGAAGAATGTTGTCATTTTTGTTTTAAACAACCTATTTTTCACCAATTATAAAAGCTAGATGTTTTTTATTCTAAAAATATTGTTTCAATTTATAAGTTCTTAAGCTTAAGGTCCAAATCCTTTTTTAGGCAAAGCTAATCCGTATTGAAGTTGGCCATAGTTAGGTGATTGGGCAACACGATTATTAAGTGGTAGTTGGAGGTATCACTTCTAAATCAAATTCTCAACAAATATACATACTTGTATTTTATTATATATTTTATCCAGTACATCTAAATAACTTCTCAAATGCTGGTTATATCTAGTGAGGATTACTGTTCGGTCTTTGGTTCGAACTGATGCACTCTAGACCGGACCACTGTCATTAAAAAAATTGATCCAGACCGTTTTTCTAAATAAAGCCGTCCAAAATAGGTCTTTTTTTTAAATATTTTTGTTTTTACCTAATTTATTACTTGTTTATTGGGACTAATAAAATGTATTGCAAAATAAAAATTAACTAAATATTTACAAAAACTAAAATAATTCCTCTAGAAAAATAACAATATAAAATAGACAAAAAAATATGTAAAAAATTATATCAATTGAATAGTAAAACAAACTTAAACATTAATAAATGACCGGTCTGGCTTAAAAAATAAAAAGACTGATCCCAACTATGGTCCTCAAAAAGATCGGTCCATCAATTGGCTTGATCCCGGTCTACGGACCGGATCACCGTTGACTTTCACTAGTCATATCTATTAAAATTTTGTTTTAATCGACTTTTCAACGAATCCGACTAGGATGTACTAAAAATTGAAAAAATCGACATCATTATTTTATTATTTGTTATAAAGCAATTCTAATCTCCCACTTGTCAAAAACAGAATTCCAGACGTTTCGATGCTTACTTTTATACTAAAATTACTATGTATTATTTAGTAATTAGTAAAGTATTATATATATAATATACACCTCTATTTAAAATTATTTATTATAAAAAAAATTATTCTTTCTAAAAAATTTGTTTAAGTTTAATGAAGGATAAATATAATTTTTAACAATTTTATTCACATTTTTTTTTTCTAAAAATTTTTTGAAATTTTTTGAAAATTTAATAAAAAGTATTATATCCAAATAGATATAAAAAAAGTTTTGTGGTTTTTAAAAAAAAACTAATGTAGTAACTTGTTAATTTGTATTATAGGTTTTTTTTATATTAAAATAAGTTTGACATTTTTTTATATATATAGTCATTTGTGATAATAAAAGAGTTCCCTTTTTTAGATAAAAAATTTTTATTTTCAATTTTTTAGATTTAAAATATTTTTTATCAAATTAAGTTTAAAATTTTTAACGAGAATAATTTTCGGTTTTTAATGTTTTACCCTGCTTTTAACGTTTTACTTTTCCGGTCCTCGATTTTGCCCGATTATGCCATAAGAATTTAATATATATAGAAGGGAAGGATGGAACCTTATCATAGAATAGCCAAAGTTGGCTAGATATGGTTCTTATAATGTTTTTGGGTGCTAAATGAAGACTATGATCCTTCACAGTGGTAATGGTTCTTATAATGTTTTTGGGTGCTAAATGAGTGATACCAATGGATTGGTTAAAATAAATCATCATTAAATATAAAAAAATGGTTAGACAAATTAACATGCAAATGATCATTTACATATAAAAGGTTAATAATTTATGAGCTTTAAATTTGAATATTTATTCTTTTTTTAGGATTAATTTGAATTGTAATTAAATTATAATATTATTATTTTTGTTTTAATTTTTAACAGGCTAATGTATATATAGATGGTTTTATTTGCTTATTTACTATTATTAATCCTGGAAATTTAAATGATATATTATTTTCCATAAGACGAATTTAATTACTTAGTTTAATCAGATTATGAAATCCTACATCAGATATCTATACTCTTGGGTAAGTCTAGTTTTATTATTTAAAGAAGCAACATGTGATAATTACGGAGGATTTCCGTCCTTAGCTAACCTACCCTCTAATGGTCCTATACTGCCTGTTTCTCCAATTTTGCCTTATGATAATTCAGATTATAGTCAATCAGTAGCCCATATACACGGTTATGTTGAAAAGCCAGTTGAATATTTTTACAAATCTTACAAGCTGCAACCGACGGTAACTAATGTTCGCAGACTAGACCTAGTTCCTCACGCAATTAATATGCAAGGAGTACTCAGAGTACCTCAAGTGCAGGAGGTGAAATCTGTAGATTACATTCCAAAACCGGTCCAAGTTCAAAGTTATAAAGTTGTCCCTACAGAAAAGACTATACAAAGTTTAGCCTACCGTCCAACTATTCACACTGCCACTCAATTGGAATACGTTCCTGATACGAAATCAGTAAAATCTGTCGTATATAACCCCCATCTAATCACCCAATATGGCTTGAACTACGTGCCTAAAGAACAAATAATGTCTGGAACAAAGCTGAACGTTGCTCAAGAGTTGGTGCCTGGTTATCAAGTTGTACCAAAGATGTATACTGGCACCGGGGTTAGGTATAACTACTTTCAGTATCCTGTCAATAGTTATAGATATGAACCACGTCAATATTCGGTTAAAAGTCTGGATTATATACCCACTGAGCAACAACAAGTGGGTCTTAAATTATTTGCCAAAGATTACATCGTAAAAACTTATAAACCCATCATTGCCCCCTCATTGGCTACTTATACCCACACAGGGGAAGCCACGCGAAGTGGCCCTATTATTCGCCCTATTACTATTGACCCTAGACTGTATGAATATGCTAATAATTTAAATGAGCGAATAAAATCGTTAGCTTATGCTCAACCTCCTCCTGACTATTTAAATTCAGCTAACAATTTAGGCATGCAACAAGACCATTTGACGCATAATTATCCCGGAGTATCTCACGACCAATTTGACCAAAATAATGGACCCCATTTGCCGTTTGCTCACGATACTGCTCCACAATCTTTTCAAACATCTTATAATAGGGCAAACATTCCTCCCACTATCCAAAATTCCAGATCATTTGATGGCCCCAATTTACCAAGTCAAGGATTGTCCGATTCGAACGCATATGACCCTAACAATCCAAATCTTATCCAATTCCTATTAAACAGAGGGATATTGGCTAGCCATCAGGGCAACGCAGCTTTACCTAACTTTTTACCTACCAGTCATACTAGCTTTGACGCTCAGTTTAATAGGCAGGATCAAAATGCCAATACATATCAACGAGGACCAACAAATAATAAATAAATTTAATGTGATTGTGGTGATATGTAAATATATGAGATTTTTATGATATACAAATAAAAAATAATAAAGAACAAATGTTTTCCGTGAATAGGATCAATATTTTGTCTTGATAAAATTTTTTTTATTTTATTAACAATTTTTTATAAAAAAAAATATCATGTTAAATAAAATTATTGGTTTGAATTCTTTCCTGATCATTATCCCTTATGGATTACTTTTTATATTGGCTGTTCTCGGAAATGCGATAGTTATTGTAACTTTATTAAAGCACAAAAGAGTGCATACTATAACGAATATTTATTTGATCAATTTGGCCATTAGCGATCTGATTCTTGCCGTTATGTGCATGCCCATCACTTTGATGGCATATTTGTTGAAAAAATTTATCTTCGATATAACAACGTGCAAAATTATCCTGTTTTTACAAGGTGAGCATCTCTTACATTTACTTAAACTATTAATATAAAATTAGAGAAGTAGGATTATTTTCGGTTTTAAAAATTTAGGTATATTTTACAATCTTATACAAAGTCTTTAAGATTATGTTAGCCATTTGAAAGTCGGCAATATCATAGAAAGTGGCTCCAATGAAAGATCATTGTATTTTTACCTAACTAAATTGTCAAATATATACTATAATTGTACACTATAATAATTCTATTTTAAGCTTTATCTATATCCTCTAGCGTTTGGACATTAGTAACCATATCTTTAGAGCGCTATTTTGCTATCTGTAAGCCATTATTTTCTAGAAGGTGGCAAACTATAACTCATTCCTTAAAGATCATTCTCTTGGTCTGGATTTGGTCCATCGTAAACGCTCTCCCTATATTGTTAGTCAGTGGCTTAAAGTTGCTTAATGTCGAAATTGTAAAAATGCCGATTTATAGTTTCAGCAAAAGCTCAAACTTCTCGGAAAATGTGAATTTATCTTATCACCCGAATTACCAATATCAAAACATTAAACATAAAACTTTCGCTTGCCGTGAGATATGGCCCAATTCAAAAGTAGAAGGCTTCTTCAATTGGTTCCTTAATTTCTCCTTATTAATTTTTCCTTTAATAATAATGGTTTATGCTTATTCAAAAATATGTATGGGATTATGGAAAGCTGCAAAATACGAAAAAAAATTTCATGAAACTATAAGTAATTTCCAGAAATTTATTATAAAACTTGGTGAATAAAACGGATATTAAAAATCCCCTCTCCTTTTAAGTTACTGATATGTTTTAGTTTAATATCAAATATTATTAAATGTAAATTATTAAATATTTTAAGTTAACAATGAAACACATCATTAAGCACCCATATTTAAAATCAATCTTAGTATATAAGAGAATTAGTATTTTAGATCATTTTTATTTTATCATTTAGTAGGAAAATATTGGTCTATTAATTATATACTTTTAATATTTATATTAGCAAAACATGATGAGAAGGATTATTGGAATCACACTCCCCTTGTCAAATTAAATTGCAGTAAGAGATATGGCAATAAAATTGAGGAGAAATTGGATAAAACGTTGGCAAAACGAAGTTACGATGTGGAAAAACATCACGTGCCCAATAATAGGTTAAGCCTTCATACAAATCCCATAAAGGTTTTTATAACTAAGAAAGGTAAAAAGAATTACAAATACAAAACGAACAATTTGTATCATGAAAACTCCTCAAAAAAACCCTCCAACAGTTCTAAGACTAAGATTTTAACAAGTACCACGGAAGTATTCGATTATCATTTAAAACAAACTCGCCTTTGGAGCAAATCCCTTTCCAATCCTCAAAATTATTATAAGCCAAAAATTATTTTGACAACCAGAAGATCCCTACCTCACGATAAGGCAATTATTGATTCAAATTTGAAAAATTATACCCATTCCGACTTGACTCCCTTACACAATATATTCCTCAAAGTTACTCATAGCAATAAAATTATTAACACTAAAGCATCCTTTACTTATGATTATAATTTGAAACACGAGGTGTTACCATCGTTTAAAAAGATAAAAAAACATATGGCCCGCATCCCCTCGACATCTAATGCAGTAGTTAGGCGATACAAGACTGAAGATGGATTTTCAAAAAGTTTGAAAACCAAAAAAAAAATTATAAAGATGCTTTGTGTCATAGTAATTGAATTTTTCTTGTGTTGGACACCCCTCTACGTAATAAATACTTGGTTAATGCATCACCCAGAGTCTTTAAAACGACTTTTAAATCCATCGCGAACCTCCATCATTTTCCATTTTATATCTCACATTTCAGTATGCTGCAACCCTATAACATATTGCTTTATGAATCCAAAATTTAGGCAGAGCTTGGCAGACATTTTGAGTTCATTCCGCGGTGGAATACATTTATTCCGTTCAAAAAAATCACAACTTGTTTCTAATAACATTACCTATTTCAAATATAATCAACGTTTCAGCAGTCGTCAATATCCCTATAAACAAACGAATTGCAACGAATGCAATAATACTTACAATGCTAATGATACTAATAATATGTTCAACTCACCTGGTCATGCTACCAAGAAAAATAGGAGACACAAAACTTTGTTTAATAGAACCCCTCATAAAAATGGAAATTTTATTAATAAAATAATAGGAGCCTTGCCTTCAGATTATATGTCACGACACAAGCAAATAAACTTTTCGTCCCTTAAACGTAGCTCTAATTCCAAAGAAAATGCCACATCGACATCCCCTCTACCATATAATGGGGCGGCATTTGAAATCAAAGTCGATGGTAGATTCATTCGAGATGAATAGATATATTTTTTAAAAAAATTTAACCCTATTTTCTGAACTAAGTAAGATTCATCTTTAATTTTAAAATTTGTTTCGTGCGAACAATGCACCAATAATTTATCATAAATAAAATATGTTATATAGTTTTAGAATAACTTAAAAGAAGTTTTTATTATTTTTTTAACTAATTCATTTTTAGGCACCGTGAATATTTTAAAATAATGCATATCATTGAATTATTATGGAGATTGAAAAGAATATTAACTATTATCTTAGTCTTATAAAACGGACTATAAAAATCGCCCCTCCCCCTCTCCATTCCTCTGCAGTAAATATTTTATGTTTTGCAGGCCAATTTCTCATAAGGAATTAACGTATTGTATAAATTTTATTTGAATTTTAGACCCTCTTGAGATAAAGTTGAATCAATGAATCCAAAGTATATATAAATAGTTTTGACTCTTGGCAGAATTATTAATTCAATCATAAAAAATTATTATTAAAATTTATTTTTTTGATATAACAGGTATAAAAAAATAATTAATGGCTATTTATATAATACTATAATAATTTTAATTTTGTCCAATTATTTAATAAATTATGTCAAAGCTTTTATCAAAAGATCCCTTAACAACTAATTTATTAATTATTTTATTTATCATAATAATTTTTATATTTTTGAAAAATATGAAAAATTAAGAAGGTAGCTTAAACAAACTTAGAAATTTTTACTTCCATAAAACAATTAAGGTTGAAAGGTGAGTGGGGGTCGTTTAGTTGGAAATCCCTCTATATGCTAGATGTATACGTTGAAAATAGGTCCGAATAATTAAGGTGATAATCCGTTCTTCATTCCTGCAAACAAATTTATAACTCATTAGGCCCAAGCCGCTATATAGATTGCCAAATCGATACACTTGCCAATAAAAATTTTAAACCACTCTTAAAAAAGTTTCATTTCCAAAATGTATAAGTATGAAATAGAATAAAATAAAATAAAATAAGAAAATAATAAAATTTCGATGGCTACAAATATGATGCCTTAGGGGGCATATCTTAAAAAAAATTTCCATTCTTTGATTATCCATAACATTTTATATTATATATATACATATATATATAGATATACTAAATTAAATCCAATTAATCGAAGTGACTGAGCTACCTTTTTTTAACTTTAAATTTGTAACACTATCATATTTTAAAACGCAATTTGGATGCCTGCAACGGGCGGGAGTGGGTGGGATAAAAAAATCTAAACAATGGAAGTGCAAAATTTTTTATAAATGGGTGTGGGATAGACAAAGCGGGCTTATACAATATTGTAAATTAATTCTTAATTTAAATATAAAATATTATTTTATAATTTTAATTTTAAAAAAATATAGTAAAAAAATAAATCAAAACCAAATTTTACAGGGATGAATGGTAACAACACTTTGAAACAGTGGCCCCTACCACGGTGTAGGGCGGGGGGAGGGGGTTCCGAACCAACTGCTTCAGTAAATTTGAGTGAGGGTACTTTTTTTTAAAAATTTTCTTTAATTCTTTTACTGTTTTGTTAGATCCACCATGATCAAGTGATTTCTGGTTTATAAATGTAATAATAAGGACCCCCCCCCCCAACTTAATATTTAATTTAATATATATTGACGGAAATTTTGGTCGATGTTTAGTAAATTTGTTATCCGAGATTTCTTGTCATAAATTATTTTTCCAATTTTAATATATGCCTAAAAATATTAACCAAAAAAAATATAAATGCCTAATAAAAAATTGCAAATGGCATAATATAAGAGATGATAAATGGATAGATAACATTAGAAAAAGGCATGGTGGGCTTAATATTAACGATATAAAGAAAAGCTTTGAAATAGTAGCTTTTAAGAATGTTACTCAAAATTGGACAAATAGCTTTATGAAGGAGAGAAATCTACCTCTTGATTTTGAAAGTTCTAGACTTCAAACATTATAATCCAAAAAGGAAAGGTTTATATACTTTCATCATTAAATATAGGAATTTTTTTAGCTTTAAAATAGGTGTGTTTTATGCTGCACTCGATTTAATTATTATGCAGTTAAACGAAAGATTTAATGATGATTCCATGAAATTTTTACATCAAACATCATTTTTTACGCCAAAGGGAATGGCAGAAAAATCAATTATTAAAGAAGATATCGAGGATATCTGTGAATTTTACAATTTAAATTCAAGTCAAATTTTCGAAGAAATTTTGAAGTTTAACAATATTTATAAGATGGCCAAAATGGGGAATGTAATTATTACTCATGACCTAGAGGTTCATGAATCTAAAGATTTGTCAGATTCTGAGAATTGTAAATTTATTTAATTAAAATATTTTTACCAATACATTATTTAGCTTTTTCTGATGATGATGATAATTCAGGGACTTACGATTCAGATTGGAAAAACTATTCATTTATTTTACCTTTTCGTTTACTTTTAAATTTTTCTGCTTTCCCTAATTTAAGAATTTTATATAAATATTTATTAACCATTCCCTCAACCTCATGTACTGTCGAAAGAGTCATGAGTAAAATTAAATTAATTAAAACAAGACTTCGCAGTACCATGAAAGATTCTTTTGTCAATAATTTAACCATATTATCATGAAAAAAATAAACAATTAAATACTGATGAAATTATAAATTCTTTCGCTTTCTCTTCCCCTAATTTACCTAAATTATTAATTTAAAAATAATATTTATAAAGTATATATTTTTTGCATTTTATTTATATTATATATTAAAAATTGATGTAATAAAAATTATTTTTGAAATTTATGGGTGTAATAATTATGATTTTTACGAGGGAGGGGGATACTTTTCATGGGGGTATTCTGCTTCATTCGCTCAAAAAGTGTAGGGGCCACTGGCGATATGGAAAAAACAAAGAGTTTAGAAAATTTATTAATATAATTTCGATTAAATTAATGAAATTGCGTTATTTAATACTACATTTTGATTTAATGAAATAAAACTGCTTTTCATTTATATAATTAACACCCCCCCCCCCTAAAGTTAACTTCCATCCTCTTAAAAATTTGTAAGCAATCGCATATATAAACGCTAAAAAATTATTTAATATTTCAAAAAATCTTAAATAAAATAAGATATATTAATTTAAAAATAAAATAAAAAAATAACCAATCATTAAAAAATAACAAAAAATAACAAAAAAAATAAAATAAAAAAGAATAATGAGCCCCCCTAACAGATTAATTTTTTAAAACTGGTGATAAAATAATAATTTGTATAATTCTGTATGAATTTGATTTCTTTTATATACAAATATATAAAATTTTTATATAAAATCAGCTTGGGAGTCGGCTCCATGTTTCCTTCCCCGCCCCTCTTATTTATATTTTTGATATTATTATTCATTTTTATATCATATCTTATGTTTTTAAATGAATGTAAATAGACCTTGGGTCTGGACTCCGGGTCTGAACCAAGGGTCTGAACCAAGAGTCTAAACCAAGGGTCCGACCACGGGTCTGAGCCAAGGGTCTGTGCTCGGGGTTCGTGCTCAGAGCTGGTTTAGTCGATTTTTAGACCAAAACCCCGGGTCTTGGTTTTATACAACCAACCAATTAACAACACTAGAGCACCTAATGTTTTAAGTAATATAGTAATATTTTAGCTAGAGCATCTTTTATAATATTTATTCTATCCTTTTTTTTTAAATTAAATAAATAGTGGTGAATATGAATATTTATAGTTAATGTTAATTTGCACAATAAATTTAACATCTTTAAATTATATGGAATTTTATTTGTGCATTATCTTAACTTAAATTATTCCTAATTATTCATTATTGTATATATACATATTGCGAAATCATGCTTTAATCCTTTAGAAATTTTAAATATGAGAATACATTTTATAAATTAAGGTTTGGTTGGTCATAGAATAAATTAATATGCTTTATAGCTTAGTCATATTACAATAATTATTTAAAACTCTTATATATAGTTCAATACTAGGCATATTATCATTTTGGCCTTTTATTAATTATTTTTCTCACGCCATTTTATGACATGAATCATGATAACTAAGAGACGTCTTAAAATCAAAATCGGTCTTAAGTCGTGACTATAGCTGAGTATAGCCGGCTAAAATGATTTTAGTTTTTATTCGAAAACTATCATTTCAGAAGTTTTTTTAAAAATATATCTCACCTTTGAAAAATTAACTCTCTAAATTATAAGAGAATTTTCGTCGGCACACCTATAAAGCAAACTAGTAAACTTTTATCCTTTGCCCAACAATAGGTGTGACCAATTTGTAAAGTATTCGAAAAAACTGATTTATTAATTTCTGCAGTAACACTGCGGCAGCTTAGAAAGGATTTGTGAGTAAAATAATTCGCTATAAATTAATAGCGCTTATTTAATGTTATAGATTAAGTTAATATATTTAGAATCGGATAAATAACGGATATAAAAAGATGAATTTGAACATCATCTCATAAATTAATCACTTATTATTATTAATGTGTTTTTTTTATTTTCTTCATAAATAAAATTTTACAATAAAAAAAAATCCCATCATCCTTATCTTATTACGATTTACGAATAAAAGAAATTTTACATTATGTTTTATTTAGCATTATATCGGTATAATAATCATATCATTGTCCTTAGTATGAAAATAAAATTCAAATAATTATATTAAATCTGTTAAGAAAAATGTTGTATAATAAAATGTATTAGGAGCCTTTAATATTGTAGATTTTTCGTTTTTTTCATCGTATTCTCCCCCCTCATTTAATCTTTATTTTTTCTTTGCTGAATAGAAATAACTAAAAAAAATATATATATAAATGAAGCATAATATATTTATTTTATTGGTTCAGATTAAGCACTATTTACATTAGTAATACTACGTGAGAAAAATAATGTAAACGCGAAAACTTTTTGAAATTAAAATAAAACCTCAAGGGGTGAGGGTTAGTTTCTGACCACTTTGTAGAGGTGGTTTGTGCTAATTATTTGTGGTACTTTTTATAAGTATTATATCAACCTACAAAAATTTAGAGTTTAACTAAATTTTCGTCATATGAAGATATTCATTTTTAGCCTATAAAATTAATCGTGACTTAATTATGAAAGAAAAAAAAAATATATCTGATATGGTACTCAAAATACTTTCTTTATTCTGCAAATTTCCTTCCAGTTATAATGTCCTGCGTTAAATTTTAAAATATTCAGAATTTCTGATAATTTTAAATACCCATTTTGTTCTATGACAAAATGAATATGAAAAATTAAATATTGATTTAACCCAATTTTCAATTATGTTGATAAAAAATAATAGAGAATCAAGTGAGTATATTTATATTTAGATAGTTCTTCTCTCATGATATTAGAAAAAAAAAATTCCGCTCACTACTTGCTGAATAAACTGATATAGCAAATACGCTTATATTAATTGTCATTTGGTTCCATCTTCTGATTTTTTAAAACTTATTCATTTAAATTGAATTATTCAATTTGAATATTTTATTTGTGGCAAAACCCTAAAATAAATAAAAAAAATTTAAAAATTAAAAAAAGTGATTAGATTAGCCATATTTTAAATAATTATTAATTTTTTTAAAAATTTTCATAAGAAATTAGCGCTACGTGTTTATAATATATATATAACGTGTAAAATTGAGCCGACGCTGAACAATAACAAATATAATGTATAACATATACGACTCTTTTTATGTATAATGAATATAATGATACTTAAATAGTTGTATAATTTTTGATAAAAAATATATATCAAAGATGTTAAATAAATTAATCCCTTTTGTAGTACATGTCAGTTTTTTGAAAAAAAATATAAGTCAAAATTTTTTAACTAAAATTATATATATTTTCACAAAATTTGGTGTACATTGGTTTATTCTTGTACGTAGCTTTAGATATTGTTTTGTTATGTTATAATTTTAAAAATTAATATCTTATATTTTATCGAGATCGACTAATGATATTTTAAGCTTTTTTGTATTTTGTTATTTTTATCAATTTTTTTGCAAGAGAATAATTTTTAGAATAAATTATTAAGATTTGGAATTTTTTTCTTTAAAATGTATTTCCTCTTTTATATAATTTATATACTATGATTGATATAATAGTCTTTTTTTCTTAATCGATCTTATTTACATCTAAATAAGTTTTAAAAGAAATTTCCATATTAGAAGATAGATATGAAGTTAGCATAAATCTAAGAATTATCTTTTAAAAGATTATAAATTATCTGTCACAGAAAAAAATTAATATAATATTCAATAAATCTTGCCTTGATGAATCTCCCTGATCATTAAGATTATATTATGATTATTATTCTTTTTTTTTAATATATAAGAAAAAAAAGTATTTAGGCTGTCTTGTTTCGACTTATTATATTTAAAATATAAACAGGTTAATTCTTGTAAATGGCATGCTAAAAAGCAGGAACCTGGAGTGAACCGTAACGAACCGTTAAACCATTATAAACCGTTATAAATATCTGAACCATAACCTAACCGATATAATTATTTTTTGAAGGAGTAAAAAAAAACCTTTATAAAAAAAGGTTAAACCGGTATTATTTTAGAAATGGAAATAATTTGAATATTTGCTCTTATAGTACTGGCGTTCCCGCAACACAAGTTTTTGTAGAAAGGGCCTTTTCGGGGCTAAAATTTGTGTTATCCTCTCATCAAACAAATATAAATCTATTTATATTAGAAAATATATTACTTGTGCGTTCAAATAATAATTAAAGATATGTTATTTTGAATCTTATATATTTTTTTTATATATAATTCATAGATGCTTATAATAAAAATAAATTAGTCGATGGTGTTGCTTCAATAAAAAATTTTTTTTAAACCGTAATGAACCATTATAAACCTTTACAATTAGCTGAACTGAACTGAACCTTTATAGATTTTTTCTTAAGAACCGTAACCAAAACGTAACCATTATAATTTTTTACATACTGAGCCGTAACCAAACTGAACCGTTATAAATAACGGTTTGGGTCCCTGCTAAAATGTCAGAAAAATTTAATTGTTTTATAATAGAAGATAACATCCTAGGCGGCTAAGGTTAAATTATATGTTTTTTTAATACATTTATGTTGATATCTAGGCAAATTTGTTTTTAAATTGTTATAGTTTTCTATTTCTATAAGATTATTTCCGAAATTTCTTCTATTTAAAAAAGTGAGTGAAGAAATACTAAAAATCTAGGAATAAACAATATTATAGATACATTAAATTTTATGATGTAGCATGGAAAAATTTTATTATAAAAAATTGATAAACGGAATGTTTACAAGAGACGTTATAATTCGTATGATATGTTCGACATTTTCTATTTCCAAGTTAAAAGCAAATTTTTACTAAAAAATTGCCCAGCTTGAGCGCTCAAGGGTAAGAAAAATTATCTATTGAAATCGTTTTCAATTTTAACTTAACTAATCCATCTTATTTCATATTTACCAAATGTTTCACAAGTCTATTGGATAATTTTTATGCTATCGCCAATCTTAAAAGTATCAAAGCTACGGCTAGAGACATCGAGTCTAGTATTTTTAAAATACGATAAAATACTGATTTTTTTTATATTAATGATGATAGTACATTTTTTATATTATATAGTTATTTTTATTATAATTATTATAATAATGCTTTTATATTTTTTCGATATAAATTGAATCTTGAACTATTTTTATAAATTTTCTTATTTTGCAAAAACTTTATTATTTATACTGCTGACAAAATGGAATGAATCCTTAAACCAAAATGTATACTAGTTAAAAATTATATATTGGCCTAAGCTTTAAAATACCGCTTTAAAAAGATTGGCAATTATTAATATGAGATTTAGATTCATATCTGTTTATCTATTAAGTAAACCGAAAAGAACGAATAATATCTAGTACTGTAAACGTTACTTCAAAAAAGAAACTCGTTACGTTTGTAAAACGGAACGCGTTACTCGCTATTCAAAAAAAGTAACACGTTACTCGTTACTAAAAATATACAAAATATTAAATATGAATTTTCTTTTTATTTATTATTTTCTACAAAAATAATATATTATAAGTAAAGTTCCTTTTGTAATAATTTTTATTTATTTTTAACAATTGATTTTCAAAATTTTGATCTAAATAAGAGCGCTAATTGCTCAACACAGCTTTCGCTGTTCTAAATAAGTTCAACTAGAGCAGAGGATTGGAGGGTTGTATTATATTTAATAAATAATTTCAATTGGGGAAATTTATTAAAAGTATTTAAAGAATAATCTTTATTATCAAAAAATTTACTAAATCATCTTCACAAGAATCTTCATTCAGATCCTCATTAAAAAATTTTTTCATCTTAAGAATATAATCTGAATTCATATTTTTACTTTCATATATTTTTTTAGATTTGAGCTATTGGACATCGAAGTTGAAATATTTGAATTTAAGTACAATCTACACTTACAAAGTGTAGACTTAAAGCCCTTAATTTTTTTTATTTATGTTAAAAATTATTCATACTGGAGCAGGATAGAGTTAGATCATCTTCATCTGATGATATAAGTACCGATTAAATAAATTATAATAATGAATATTAGCTGATTATTTCAATATAGATTAGCATCTTGAATGTATAAAATTCAATCAAAAATGTAATAAATTTAATATAAATGAAGAACTTTGATGGTTGATCTGAATGAAAATCTAGTCTTAATTATTTATAAAATTTTATAAATAATATATATAATAAAATAAAAAATATTTTTTTAAAAAAATTTTAAAGTTCAAGAAAAAGAAACGCGTTACTCATTTACTTATATATAAAACAAATGGTGTTCCTCTCCCTCAAAAATGGTAACGCAATCACTTTCATCGATATTATTTTGTCGATTTAATAATATCTATAAAGATCGTTTAATTATAAAATTCAAAAATATTTTGAATCGGGGAAAGAGAAACTTTAATATACATTTAAACCTATTTGATTATTGAATCGCAATTTAAAGTTCAATATTTAAGATTTAGTCTAAGGCAACCGTCATGGTTTTTTATTTCATTTATAATTAGTTTCTGTTTACTGGTACCAGCCATTACTTATAGCACCCAGACATTTAGTGCTATCATCTTTTTCGTTCTAGAAGGATCCTGCCAATTTGACAATTTTTATTAGCCTGCCAATAAAGTATTTTTTTAAAACTATTTACCAAACAGGTTAAAGCAATAAAATATACTAAATGTCTACAAATTATTGATTTAAGTTTCCGAGTTAATACTTATAGAAGTTTGGCTGACTCCACGCTTAAGACTTGATATTTGCTTTTATTTGGCTGGCTTTATTGGTTATCTTTTTGTAGTTAGCAAAATTGAAAAATTGAAAGATATAAGGACTTAAATATTAACATGAACAGGATATTTAAAACTTTTATATTATCCGATCTGGCATGATGTTAATTTTGTAATTTTTTTTATTTATTTTGCCAATTATCGTTTTTCCCCTTTAAATCATTTATCAAACAGATCAAAACAAAAAAATGTTGCTAGTTAAGCACTCATTTATGGTTTGATTCTACTAAGTTTCTTTTTTGTGGCTGATTGAGAAAATAATAAGTACTTGTCAAGCATAAAAAACTGAATTCATAGTTAATGCGAATTCGCTGCTAAGTATATAAAATATGTTGTATTTTTCTACACTGAATTCGAGCTAACTAAGAATTCAGGGTTACGCAATAAACATCGATCTTTAGAATAAATGCTTTCGGTCTCTTTTTAATTTTTAGGTTTGTCAAAATTTTGTTCCTAATAATTTTTCCCTTTATATTGGCTACTCTACTAAACTGGTTAAAGCCACAAAAAATTGGCCTGAATTAGTGTTACCAATTGTTCAGGTAACTATAACGGATATATTTCAAAAAGCAAAATAATAAAATAACTACGGAAAAATAAAAATATATTTAATTAGAATTTTTCATAAAACAATTTATCACCCCCTCCCCCTAGATTAATCCTTGGTAAGCCAATGGTCATTATTTTTATATCATCTATATTTAATAAAAAAATTGATTAAAAATGTTATTTTAGTTATTATATTTTTTCCCTAACTTCAATTAAAAGTAAATTGATTTATTATTTTTTTTCTATAACTTCAATTAAAAGTAAATTGATTATTAATCTAAATAAGAATCGATTGGATGTAATTGCTCAAAAGATAAATCACATATAATATCATTAAATTTTTTTTAAAATAACTATAATTTTCACTTTGCCATCTATCGAAAAATGAATAATTTATGTAATAGATTATTCATTTTTCGATAGAATATATTTAGCATTACTTTAGAGACAACATTGTCCCATGTGGCTTCTATATCTTTAACATATTCATAATTTTTAGTATAGAGCGGCATTAAGCCTTCGCGATATATACAATTAGCTCCAGGGAATTTTCTTTCGTATCCCACGCACCAAAGCCATAGACATGACTAAAATAAAATTTTATTTTTTAATTAAAAATTACCCTATCCAAGTAAATTTCAAAATAAAAGGATATTCATAGTAGTCTTGCAAAATTGGAAAAAAATCTCAAGCTTAGTCTCGAGGGGGAGACTATAAAAATGAGGCATGGAAAATAAGTTTATCATAGATGTGAAGGCACCTTTAAGCCAATTTTTCAATTTAGCTCCGAGGCTTACGCGGTCTTAGATTTATTTCGAGCTAGACAATAGAAAACAGAGGAAAGCCTTAGCATTTATTTTATATACTAAAATAGAAATATTTTTTAACCTATACCTCAGATATAGAGATCTGCAATTGGCTAGTTTTAGCCTGCCCATCCACGTCCCTTGAATATTTTGCAGTCATCTACTGTGATGCATTAATTATTTCCCCTAGTATTTTTCTTCCAATTGTCTAACATGAGCCAACTTTAAAACGATTTGAGCCTCAAGGGTCGGATAATTTAAAAAATCGGAATTCTAGCTTCAGGTTGGGCCAGTTTTTTTCCATTCTGCCTAAAAAACTTAGTCGATATTAAATGGGCTCATAAGTAGCGATTTTGCTTCACTACTAAATAGCCAAGAAATATACTATAAGCTATAAAAAATATAAATTCTATATTATGCTTATATTATAACAAATAAGTATAAGTCAAACTAAATTCATATGAATAAATGGTTTCCTATCCTTTAGAAGTGTAATATATAGAGGTGGCCCAGATTGACAATATATGCTGACATTAAATAAATTTAATTTTTTAATATAGCATGTTATATGTCCAACTGAAATAAAATTTATGATGAGAACTTTTTTAAGGAATTTCTTTAATATTTGCTATAAACTGCAAAAATATAATATTAATAATCAATTTTTATCTAATACCAACCACGAAGATAAATTTTAAAGAAGAGCGATTTATAAAAAATACTTCATTCTGCGAATTATTTGAAATTTTATTTTCTGACAAAAAAAAGTTATTCTTATTGCCGTCTTCCCTGTTAGCAAATGACGTTGTATATACTATATATTCATCGATACCAGTACCACGGGGAAAGTTAATATGCTTATTTTTACTTATACTATTGTACTATCTATATTTAAAAAAATTTCTTCTCTTAACTTTCCTTAGATTTATTTCTACCTACTAATATCTTTTGTTTATTTACCTCGCGTATGCTTATAAATTAGGAATATAGCGGATCTTTTTTCCATGAAGGTTCATAGATTAATGTATTATTTTTTTAAGAGTCTGGTAGTATATTTTAATCTTTTTTTAAATCCGAATAATTCATAATAATAATTACTTTTGCAATCCAATACCAAAAAAAAATGCCTAAAGTTGCATCTGGAATCCATTCTATACATTTGATAACCCCAAACACAGCCCAATATATTAGTAAAGGCTTAAATTCTTCGCTTTTGTTTTCTTCCAGAGCATTAAAACTTCAAATTTATAGAGAAAATTAAAAATATTGCTTTGAAGGGTTTTGTAGTGTAATAACAATTTAAACTTTTATATAAACATAAGAATTTAACCATTTTTTATAAATATCTCACATTATACCCTAATCTAATTATGTTATGATGTTTAATCTGTGTGATAATTGACCAATGCAAGATAAGCCAAAAAAATCTTACTATGATAAAATATCGTATTGGTCTGATTTTTTAACAATGTTCGTTAAAAAAACCGTTTATTTAGGGGAAAAAAAACAAACGAAAAAAAAACCACCTTGTGTTTTTTATCTTTTTTTAACAAATTTTTTATGCAATCAATTTATCACAACATTCTTAAATGTTATCTACCAATATTTTATTAGAAATGTTTTATTATTATAATTATTTTATAAGTGTTTGATTTTGTTAAACTGAGTTTATTGAAAAAAAAATTAACTTTTTTATTATTTATATAAGAAAATTGATCTTATAAATAATTTTTGAATGTTTCAAAATTCGTTAAAATATTTTTAAACATGTTTTCTTGTTTGATTTATTTAGATATTTTTATTCCTGCTTTTTTTTATTTAAAAACCACCATCCCCCCCCCCCAGTTATTTGTTTTTTCTCATTTTTTTAACCATTCTAAAATCAAAATTACAGAAAAAGAAAAGAAATGAAAGAAACACAAATTTAAATGATTAAATATCCTACCTTTATCCCCTTGGACCTCATTTTAATAATAATCTTGCGTTATACCCCCCTCCCCTTCACCCATGGTAGAGGTGCCTGGTTTTATAGATTTACATAAAATTTTAGTATACGATTTGAAAAAATAAGACTTTTTTTTTAGGGAAATAAATATAAATAATGTAATGATTTTCCAGTAGTAAATTACAACTTTTTATACTAAAAATTTAAAAAATATATAAAAGAAACGGATAATTTGGCTTTGACTTATGGTAATGGTGGTTGTGTACAAATTTTTAGGATTTAATGAGCGGGTAAGGTAAAAATAATTGCTGGATATAAAGGGATAAAAAGATGTAGAACCAATAGATAGGTATATATAACTATTATTTTCATTCCAGTTATTTTGAAATTTTAAAATGGTTATTCACACTGGTTATTTTAAAAGGAATTTGTATAGGTTCGTTTCGGTTTACAAATACATACGAATTCTTTTCTGTTCGATCTGGTTTTTATAAGTTTTGGATTATTAAAATAAATCATCCTACAAATTATTTTTCTGAATAATCTAAAAATATTTTAAAAAATAAAATAAGTTGAATTTTATTTATTTATCCTAAAACATGCATAAGAAATAGCAAATCAAATGTAACATAAAAAAACAACATATAATTTGGGACTATTTTTTTTTTAAAAAATTTTTTAAATAATGCCAATCATTTTATGTAAATAAACATAATTTCAAAGGCTGTTATGAATCGATTTAAATCGATTCGAAAATTATTTATAACGTTTCGGTTCTTTACTTTCAAAAATTCTTATAACGGATTTCGGGGTTTTGTTCTGTTGGACACTCTGCTTATAAAACAGGCAAGTCATCATTGATATTATCAGAAACAAGTAAGTCCAAGCTAGGTTAAATTCTATTATTAAATGGGGTCAGAGAAATAATTTAGTTATATATATTTAACACCGTTTTATTTTTAGTTATTAAATTTATACAGCCAGATATAGAAACGATATGATTAAATTGGCCATAGATTAGTAACAATAAGTGAATCCAGACTCAATGTTAGGAATTTTAGCAAATTCTGTGGAAAGATCAGGGGTTGTAGTGACAATGTCGTTGCCACCCTGAAATAGCCATACTTTGGAAGCCAAATCTTTGTGATTAACTCGCATATTGTGTGCCAATTAAATATGACATAATAACTATATTATTAAAAAATTTGCAAAAATGAAATAAAACAAATACAGGCTTCATTATCAATAGTTATCAACACCTTAGGCATGTTCGGAAATGAGGCCTTTAATTTTATCAAACCATAGACAAAAAAGGAGTGGCGACCCCAACTAATTCTTCTATTTTTATCAGCAGATTTCGAGAGAAATCTGCCGATCCAATTTCCTAAGCATTTACTCCTATCTAGGGTGACATGTACCACTTGATTTCTAAGTTCTTTTAATGTTTTTTATATAAAATTTATATATATTTTTTTTAATATAATTTTTAATTTATTCTTATTTGTTTTTTTTAAATATATTTTATTTCGATATCGTTATTTTGCATTTTATTTATAAATTGAAACCGTTTTTAATTAAAAATATTTACAAAAAAAATCTATATCACATGCTATTCCCCCTTTTCAAGTGCGTTGCGGATTATTTATTCTTTTTCTTATAGTAATTTGAGTGGTATCATATGAATGCCACCTTCTCCCAGCATATAAGTACACGTTGCAATTTAAAAAATAGATTAAATAATGGGGAACGTTTTATTGATTGTATTTGTATATCTCTATTTTATTTAATCGGTGTTAATTATCTAAATTGATAATTTTATAGCTTTAAAAACATAAAATTTTATATTATTTATTTTTAAAATTGGTCATTTTAAAATTATTAAATATCATATATTGATTTAATTCCTGTTTCAAAAATAAATAATGTATAACTTGTGTTTGTGTAGTAAATTAGAATGATTAAAATTATATTTAATGTTAATATTTTGGTGGTTTCAATAAAGCTAATCTGGGCAACAAGTTTAAATTTATTTTGTAAGTTGTTCGAATTTATGTTATTATACCTAAAAGGATTGACACTTAGCATAGAAAATCGTTGCTGGCCGAAAAACCTGTCAAAACTCTAATGATCAATAATATTTTATATATTGTAATATAGTTTTGTTTCAAGAATAAGTAGCATACTTTTAGGAATTTCCCATGTTGAATGTAGTTTTCATTTTAATTTAAAATAAATAAAAATGTGAACAATTAAGTTACACTGACCAATAAATATGAATATTACATTAGTTATTAATTTTAATACAATTAGGAAATAGTAAAGATTACATATTATAGCATTTATAGCTTATAACAGTTAAAATAATAAACTGAACTTTTAGTTTTCGATAAAGGTTAAAAAAGATTTAAATATAAATAAAGTTCGGATTGCTAAAAAGCTCAATTCGGGTCGATTTTAAAAATGAGCCGACTAAAATATAAGCCAAAATAATAGTAAGCCATGAGATTTACGCAGATGGCAGAAAGGGTTGGACATCTATTTGCCAAACCTCGAGGCTTATATGATATTATTTTGGCTAAAATCTTAATCGGGTCCTTTTTAAAAATACACCCGAATCGGGCTTTTTAGCAACCCTACATGGTATACAGGCCCGTACGAATGAGAAGACCATAGAGGATGCTAAAAAGGCACTATTTGTAGGGGTTTTTTTACATAAATTTTATTGGAGGTCTTTAGGTCCACGTGTTGTAGGTCTTTGCCCTTAAATAATTAGAGATGTAAGAGAATGCGTTTGAATAGGTTCGTGAATAAAATTCGTTTTTTTGAAGACATGATGGTGAAAAACGAAGACAAACGGGTTAGTTTTTTACATTCAATTTAAAAAGTTAAAATTTCTATTTAAAAAAATATTATCTTTGATTTTAATTTGAACTAATTTGTCACTTGTTTCTTATAGATATTTTTCAACACTCTATAATTTTTCGACTAGGATAATTTAGAAAAGAATTGTTTATTTAAAAAATTTCAAACGAGAAGATAGAAATTAAATTTTTAATTAAATTTCCTGGAATAAACACGTTCTTAGCATAGCGAATTCCGTAGCGACTACGAAGCTCTCTTCAAAACGAGAACGAGTTTTTGGGAAATATTTATAGCAGTAAAAATGTTACCTATTTATTATTTCAAGCTGTTTATTCACGAATCCCATCCCATTTTTAATATGACTAAGTTCTTTATTTCATGATTTTTAGAACAAGATTAAAGTTCTAAAATTTGACTAAAATTCTCAAGACCCTCAATTTTATTTTCAAAAGTAGGCTAGATTGCTTCCAATTATGTTGGTTTAGCCAGATGCTCTTTTCAAAAATTTCCCCTGATCATAAATTATAACGCGAAATATTTATGTTATCAAACAAATTTGATTATTAAATTCCTATTATCACCTAAAAAAATTAAACGAGAATTATGTAAATTAAAAATGTTAGATCTTATATAATAATAAAATTATGCCATGAAGATTAAAATTGGATATACCAAACCAAGTTTGATTTCTGATTTTTTTAGGAAAAAGTGGAATGTAATATTGGTGCAGTTAAGAACCTTAAGATAGCTTTGAAAATACGGGATTCATATTCCGAAAATAAGGCCCCTGATCTAAATCCATTATATTAAGTGATACTAATTATAAACTTGAGTTTATAAAAAATTGTCTACAACCTTTTTGGTCTTTATACATATACTGGGGAAGAAAATTCGTAAAGCTGCCCCTTAATTTGGTAAGTAAACAAGTTGCTAGCCATCGATCAGTTGAAGATGAGATTGTTAGGTGTTAGTGTTATACAAGAAAAAGGAGAACTTATTTAACATATATTTCGTTTATAATATTTATATGTATTTGGATAATTCTTATAATTCTATTTAAATAAAGATCTCAAAGTATGCATGTGTTTTTACAATCTATATTAGGAAAAAATTTTGAAAAAAGGAGAGCGTCTGGCTATAAGTCCAACATAATGGGAAGCCCATTTTTGAAAAAGAGAGTAATTGAGGGTCTTGACTTATTATTTTTAATCAAATTTAAGTATATTTTATCTCAATTTTTTTTAAAAAAAACCTAATTAAATTAAAATTTTGAGGACATTAAGTTCCATATACTCTTTAATAAAATATGATAAAAAAACAAAGGTTATAAAGATTTCAAAAAGAATGT